TGATAATCAAATCGATTTTAGAATTATAAGTTCATTCTATATTAGGTCATATTAAAATAAGGTTATATACATTTTCATTATAAGAATAAGTTATTGGAATATGTCTAAATAAATATTATATTTACATATAGATTCATGTGTTTTTTTATTTTATTTAGTTTATTCGTTTCTCAAAAAATAAAGTGTTACCTTTCATTTGTAAATAATAAAGTGTAACATTCTTAGTAGAAGATGTAGGTTAGGAAGTGTTCCAAACATAGAATGATATGCATGAACATATTTTAGTAAATCCAATAACACTTTACCTATCTAAAATATTTCATTCACGTTATTGTCAATGTACTCATTCAAATCCAACAAAATACTTCCTAATCTTTTAGATTTCCGGGTTCCATCATAGCATTCATCTCAAAGCTTATATTTTCACACCTATCATCTTTATTGGGCTAAGGCAAGAAGAAAATGATGAAAACTCAGTTATAATTTTCAGACTTTTTGAGTTTGCAATTGGGGATAAAATTAATTGTTCATGCAAAATTTGTTTAAAATGTAGGTGTTTAGGCAAAAATTTTATATTTAAAATTATCTATTTATCTAATACAGTTCTAGAATTAGATTAATACTTATTTTGATGCTTAGACTTTTAGACCAATTAATTTAGTTAAGTGTAATTGATGAGATGAATAAAAACAATAACAGTAATAACATAAAAAAAATTTGCAAGAAAAGTTATATTAAAGGAACTTGAAGTATAATAGATGTGACTTAAAATCACAATAAACTTAACACTACACGTGTGTTTCTCATTATGCTGAAGGTAATCAAATTGGAAACAATAGATATGTAATTATATTTTTTTAATAATTGTTTTAATTTTTTAATTGATAACTTTTTATTTTTTAATGTATGTAAAAGCAAACATACACAATTAAAGTTTATATATAATAAATATTTATTCAAAATTATAAGATATAATATATTTTTAATATTAGATATTATAATTTGAATAATTCTGATAAAAATAAGTAAAAAGATTATAAATGTTTATATGGCAAGGTCTCTCGTGAGAACAATTATAACCATTAATTTTATATTAATAAATAATAGATACAGTAATTTATTTAAAAAAATACATAAATATCTTTTAATATATTACTATAATTTAAAGAAAGTATTTAATGCTTCCTAAATTTAAGAGTAATGTGACAAATACTAATACATCTTGTTATTAAATTTTAGAAGGGCTTTAATAATTTACCTATAAAAAATTGTATTGTTTTAATATTTTCTTCATGTTTAAGTTTTTCACACAAACAAATATAAGGAAAGAAATTTATTTACTATAATTAATAATTTTTAAGTATTTTAATAACCATTCCTATGCATATTTGAAAAAAATAATTATTATATTTAATATTTTAACAAAAAAGTAAGATCTTTGTTCAATTTACTATAATTTTACTTTTAAATATATAGATTCAATTAATATAGATTGAGAAAAAATTATAATATTTTATTTGAAAAGAAGGTAGTGAACACACACAAATCTAATAGAGAATATAAAAAGTTTTACATTTTTCATACACATTAAAGTATAAATTTTTATTAAGATTATAGGACAGTCAATTTATAAAATTAGAGCTAAAAAATTGTGGTTAGACAAAATAAAATGAGTCCACACAACTTTGATATAAAAACAATTCTTTAAAATATAAATTTATAATTGCTAGAGCATTATCACATCTAACACAAATATTATAATAATCATACTTTTCCTATACCTTTTATCAGGGATTAATAGCTTACCATGAAAAAATTTTCAAAGAAACAATGTAATTCTAAGAGAAACATTCTATTTTTCCAAATCATAGAAAAATAATATTATTAAGGGACACAACAATAGGGAAAGATATTAATTAATATATAGATTTAATTAAAAAAATATTTTTAGTCAAGTTTCAAAACAAAGAATCTAGTTCACTAAAACTGTGGAGAGAATCTTAACAATAACATTACAAACATATTTATATTTAGACCTTGAACAAAAAAAAACATATATTTTGTCCCTCCTGTTATGAACAAATTCCTATCTATACTAGTAAAAGGTTAGATAGTTAAACTACTCATGATTAAATTTAGAACACAATTTTTTTTTCATAACTTAACTTAATAGCAAAACTATTTCCAATTAACTATTTTAAACCTTAAGAAAATTTAAGTTAAATTGAGACAAAAGCTTTTTAAAGATGAAATATTTGTTTATATTTACTAGTCAAGGAAATTTGTCTAAATTTAAACATATTATTAAAATATTACAAATAAAAGTCAAATAAAAATAAGCTTCAGTTTTTTAATTTAGAAGATTCATTATTTTCGGGCTTGTTGGCATCCTCTTTGTAACAAGTATATTTTTTTTGCATTTTGTTGTTAAAAAAAAGTATATTATTGTAATTTTTTTCTATTAATAATCGTACTATTTTTGGATTTAGAAATCAGAAAAATATTCTGTTATTGATCCTTTATTTTAAATACGTTTTTATTTTGTTCTATTTCTTTCCAAAAATTAGAATATTCACTGGTTTCCTTTTGGTATATATGATATTTTGGGATCTCAATACTTAATTTTTGTAAGATTTAATTTTTATATGATTGATTTGTATTATGAAAATTATTTATTCTATATTTTTATAATAAAAATTATCTAATATTTTTATTAAAAAAACATGTTAAAATATTACCCTCATTTTTTAATTTTTACTATTTTTTTATAATTTAATGAAGGGTAAATAACTAAAAAATGTTATAAAATAAAATTAAGGCTATAAAAAAAATATTTAACTTTAGAATAGATAACATATAAAGGAATGATTATCTCTTTAAATTCTTGCAAAAGTGATAAAACTTTGCAATTAGGAATATATTTTAAAATTTCCTGATAAATACGATAGAACACAAATTGATAAGATATAAGAATCGACTATTATATATATAAAAATAAAATAAATTTTAATTTAATTATATGTTCGATATATATTAAAATAGTGTAATTAACATTTGAGATAAATATAAAATAAAAACATAAAAAAAATATATTTAAATAATAAAATCACTTTTATTAAAATTAATATAATAATTTTAATTAAAAATATAGGTAAAAACTTAACACGAATTTTATATAGTTTCATACTAAACATAAAAGTATTTTTTTTTAATATAAAATAACTGAATTAAATATTATAAACTTATGTGGTAAAATACGATTCTCACTATCTCTCGTCATATCATCTATTTTATCATTTCTTTCTCTTTTCTCTTCAAATTTGTTTCAAATATATAAATTTCATTTTATCTAATTGATCTCTGTTATAGTTTTATGTATTAGCCATATAATTGAAATCAGTCTCATAAAAATACCACCCTTATTTTTCCTCAATAACCAATGGTCAATTTTACCATTTACAAATTTGAAGATAAAACATTAAATTTTCCATTCAATATCAGGGACTTGTTCATTGATTCATCTGTTAAAAGTTCAGAACGTCCCATAAATATTAAATGATATAATAAAACATAAACTCAAATATATACCAACTAAAATGTTTTGAAATTGGAACAAAGAAAGCAAAAAAGTAAATTTATTATAAAAACTAAATGTGAACAATTTAAACTTAAAGGGTTAAAATTACAAGAAAGTAAAATATATAAATTAAAATTGAAATAAAGCCTTTAAATTTTAAATATTAAATCTTGATATACTGCATAAAATCAACTGTAATTTTTATATAAATCAGTGTTAATAGTTGGACTCACCTTTTGCTAAAGAATGCACCCACCATCCAAATCTTGTACTATTAATTAAGACCCCCCATAATTATACACATAGATATTAATATTAATTTCTATTTGTTTGCTTAATATAAGAATTACTCATTCATTAAAAAAATATAGATTAATGTTTCCATGAATGGATATGAAAGCTAAAACTTAAATAAATAAAATATATGAGAACTAATATCTTGATATTAATCAAGTTTGTGGAATTTCAACAACTTTCAAATGGGGGGTGTGACTATTGAAGCTTATATTTATACCTATAATTCCAAATTGACGTAATTCTATGCACATTGGTATGGAAAGACATTATACTAATGACTAAGAGTTATGTGGCAGAGTTAAAATCACACACCAGAAATTTAATTCAGTAAAAATAGAAGCATTTTTTTTTATGAAAAGATTATAATATTTAATATCATTAATATACTTTTATCTTAACTTTTAATAGAAAAATATTTATTAGTTTCTTGACAAATTTCTTTAAAACCCGCAAAAGTGATCATCATCGGCTCTTATATTCCACAGGATTTCATGAAAATGTCTACGTACCATCCATCATTTCCCTCTCTTTTTTATTTGATATTCACAAAATGCCTTCATAAATGATAATTATTAATTATAGATTATAACTACTCGGCATATTAACACTCAATCGACGCAAGTTACGTAAATATTACACACAAAATAACTTGTATATGAAATGCTGAGAAGACAGAAAAATAATGCTCTCTTACTTACAGTTGAAGTTTTTCTATTTAGAGTGCATTTGAATAGTTAGGCTCTTATTTAATAAAAATTTTAATATAATAAATTATATTACAAAAGTTAAAAATGACTTGTTTTGATAAATTACATCAACGATTTATTAAAATAAATTGATTTAACTAAGTGTTTAGTATTACAAAAGTTAAACAACTTGAATATAATATTACATTAAATATTTTGTTAATGCATAATTTCTACTTTTTTATGAAGCATTACTTTTAACTAATATGGTCATTAAGATACTGTTAAGAATAGTTTGTGAAAAAATAAGAACTATATCTTAATAAAATATTTTACAAAAATAAAGTTTAAATTATGTAACTTTTATAAACCAGAGACTTGGTCAAATTGATTCTTCTAGAGTCTGCTTAAGGTTGACAAATACAGCAATACTTACATACACAACCAAAATGATAAAGCAATATATATAGGCAAAAACTTATGCCTTTAACATTTGTCAATACAAAGCAAGATGGTTGGATTTATTTAACATTTATATTCTTTGCAGAATTTCTGAATGCACCTGCAGCATTTGCTGAAGAGGCTGGATTGATGGCTTTCCTTATCTTAGACACATTCCAAGCAGTGTTAACAGCATGTCCTGCAGTTGCAAACACATGCTCAGCAGCCTCCCCTGCTTCTTCTCCAAACCTGTTGCCAAAGGATGCCATGTTATCTTATATGTATACCATTAACATGAGAGTTAAAACATTCGAAAGTATTAAACTTTTATTTTAAAAAGTCTTTATTATATTAGATATACAAAAGTATAATAAATGTTCTGTTTTTTAATAAAAAATTACTATCATTCAAAAAAAAAAGAACTAAAACTTAGTACTAAAGGTTGAAGTTAATAAAATCAATGGGTATATATACGATAAATATAAGCAAGATATGTTTGTTAACTTGGATACTATTTTCCTCATCTAGTATAAAATTTATTACATTTTGTTATTTTCATTGAAATGGGTGAAATAGAATTGGCATGGTGGAATGTCAGTAGCAACATGGGAAGTTAATTTTTCAAGAGAACTTAAATAATTATGAGATACGTCGTTGTAATCAAAATTAAGGGACCAAAGCATAAATTGTCAATGTGGTTCAGCTATAAAATATTCTGCTACATTTTTCGTAGTAATGTAATGATTTTTTACCTGTTAGAAACCATTCTGGTTGCAGCTTGGGAGGTGGCAGAAAAGGTTTGTTTTTCAGCAGCTTCAGCTGCTTCAAAAACTTTGTCTGCAGCATTGAAAGAGAATATACGAATCAAGTTGATGCTGGTTGTTTAAAAGAATAAGATTAGGTGGTATATGGTAAAAGCTGATAATGAAGATCTTAAAACTTTGGTTCAATGAGAAACTTTACTTACTAACTGCATCAAGGGAAGCCAACAGAACCTCTCCAGGGAGCATCTTTAGGAATGCTTGTCCTGGTTGGGATCTAAGCGCAGGAGCCATCACTGATCCACTCATTATTCCAACACCATTAAGCAAAGATTTGCTTAAGTTTTCAGTCATATTTGATAGCTTTCTCACACTATATTCCAAACATGAAAATAATGAGTCAGTTTGAAATTGTATATTATGTGTCCACCTAAAATCACGGAGATGAAAAATAACACCCTTATCCTTAACATTGATTCATGACTTGTACGGTATAATGATATGACCAATTACATCACATGTTCACTGAGTATTATGTTGTATAAGTGTGGTGTGAACTTTTTTTTTTTTTTTCACCTACCGTATGAGGTTTTCATTCATCCCATTCGTTGTGGCACCAGTAGTCTTCTTGTTCATATTTTCTCTGACCATGCCACCATTTTTCTTATCTGCACCACTATTTAGGATCGTTTCCCCTCCTTTTTGGACCTGATTTTCAGCACAAGTTTATGATGAAAAACATTATGATTTAGTTGGTTACTTTCCAAATAATCGTACCACTTTTTTTTTTAATAGAGAGGGGGTGTTGTAATATAAAGTAAACTAAAGTTTTGTTTTAACAAATAGTTCAGTAACATAACATCTCAGACCCAAAAGGTTAACTTTTTAGTTACAACTCAACCCAAAAGCTAGCTGTTAAGTGAGAATCTCATTCATGTTATCAACTGATAACTAGCCATTGAGAAGAGAGAACCCAAGCCCACATAAGCTCACATGAAAATTGCAAAATTCCTATGTGGGTCTCAAGTCCAATACCTTGTAATTTGACCATGATACAAGATCACCAATATTTCAGTCACACTGGCTATTTTACTGGCTTCAAGAAATTACAAGGTTTCAATAAAATAGGGATTAAGGAGTAGATTTCAAAGGGGCAACTTTGTGCATGAGGTTCCCGTGTATATAGGGTGGCTAGTTATATGCACCCTTTATCACTGAAAGCAGATAAAGGCTACGAAAGTTTGATTTTTAAGAATTAGGGTGCGTTTAAATAAGCAACTTAATTAGTTCTTGTTGCATGAAGACTATGACATAAATTTTATGCATGAAACTGAAATTAGTTAAAAAGAATTAAACTCTTCTAAACGTTCCATTGAAACCTGAGATAATGATATTATCACCATACCAAGGATGGTTCTCATAAGAAGCATAGCTTTAGGAAGTAGAAAAAATAAATAAAAAAGGAGATAAACGGTTTCTTTGATCCAACTTGAAAACTAAACCTGGTTCGTGTAAGCATTGCTACACATGAAGATACCCTTAACAATCTGACCAGTCCCTCCAGCAATAGCCTTGGCCAGAAAATGATTATAATCTTCAACCTTTGGAGCAAACTCCTCCCAATCAAGATCACTCTTCTTACTTCTCAGACCAGAAAAGCAAGAGTGTTCCTTCAGAAACGTATCAAGCAACTCCATGCTTCCAAAACTCTCTTTTGGAAAGCTCACACCATAGCTAAGAGGCTCACCATCTTTCACAGGCAAAGAGAAGAGGTAGTGAAGAGCATCCACCTTCACCACTGGCTCATCTTTTGTCAAGGGCCATTGAACACCCTTTCCAACTTTGATGATAGTTGCTAGTGGCACATTCTGGTCCATGATTTTGATGATCGTGAAGTGGCCTTGAGCAATTTCAAGAGCTTCTCCATCATCCATCAGATGAACTCTGCATCCTGGAATTTGAATCAGAGTTTCTTGTTTGATATTGTTCGGTTTTGATAATTCTTCAAAGCCCTCATGGCCATGCATGGTGGTTCCTTCAAATGGTTTGGAGCTTTGACAACCCATCTCTGGTTTTGCTCTGTTTCCCCTGTTATTTTCTTGAAACCGCTTTGAATGTTAATGGAGATAAATATGTAACAGGAAAAAGCTTTTGCTTTTATTCGTGTTGTAGCTTTATTCTGTTCTTAGTTATTGGTGAAAAATATGGTGTTAAGGGAATGTGATGACTTGGTGTGAGAAAAAAAATGGAGAGCTTGGTGAACAATCTGCAATAGCATCACAACTTGCACTCCTACTGTGACACCAAATACTTTATCAATACATGTAATATTCTTTCTTTTATCATTGTCATGATATTATTTTATGATTTTGTTAAGTATCTTAAATTAATAAAATTTTATTAAAAAAAAGTATACATTAAAAAGATAAAAGGGTAATAAATATTTTTTAATAAAAAATATATTTTTTAAATGCTTAAATTCAGTGCTGATTTGAGATTAACAAAAGTTATTATCTTCTTCTGTAATGGTAAGTTTTGTTTTAAAATCTTTCACTGGTGGAATTATGTCATGGACTTATTTTTTTGCATGGTTTGCATACATATAGATGATCAAAAGTGGAGAAAATAAATGCATGTTTCCAATTTCAACCTTTAGGCTCTAAGGCTTTTTTTAATTCTTTCTACCTTCCTTCACTGGTGGCTGGGGCATATGAAATATATAATTTTCTTTTTCTGAAGAATACCTTTCTTTTGTGTACATTTCTGAAGAATACTTTACTTCAATTGTTGGAAGATTTACAAACCTTTATTCTGTTCTATAAATTCTAAAACTACGGGCTGAGGTTGAAGGCGAATCAGATAGAGTGAATCGTGAATGCTGCATGATGGGAATAACTTAAACTAGGCATTGATTCAAATTGTTATTTATTATTATTTTTAGATAAATAAGTGCATGTATGGGAATAACATGTCTTTAAAAATTCTCAAGAAGCTAAGAAAAATATTTTTAATATAAACTCATCCAAAAAAGCAATAAATGCTTTTCACAAATTACTTCGATAACCACATACAGGAGATTTAAAAGTAAATTGTGGATACTTTTTCTTTATCTAACTACTTAGATTTTTTCCACAGAATATATCTTTTTAACATCTCAAAATCTAAGGAAATTGGAGTGCAGGACAAAAGAGAGGAATATAAGGGTATGTTTCTTTATATTTTATTTTAAATAAATAATCACTTCAAAAATCTATGAAAGATAATAATAAATAAATAAACATATAAAAACTTTATAAACTCATTTATGTGTGTCAAAGGATATTGTATGGGAGATCGTTTGAAAGGAAAATGTTATAAGTAACTTTATAAAATTTGTTTAACTTATTTCAATAAATTTCATGACCAAATTTCTACAATAATTTTGATATGATAAAAGTTAATTAAATAAATACACCAAATTTCTCTAAAAATATCATTTAGTAATTTACATTGCTAAGGCATCATTGTCAATTCCTTTTTGGTCCAAGCTAACCTTATTTCTGGAGAAGAAACTTTTTTTTGGGGGCTCAACGGAAAAGAAGCTTAAAGAGTCAACCTTTGACCAAAAATATAAAGAGCCAGCCCAATTTGACCAGGCCTATTTGAGCCCAAATACACGAGGCCTGTATTTAAGGCCCAACACTGGCATCACACACACGCCCTCTCTCACTCTCACTCTCACTCTTACTCTCACTCTTCCTGTTCCTCACTTGTCTCGCTTCTCAGCTCATTCCCCATTGGTGAGTGGTGACATTTGCCTACGTTGTTCTTACGTTGTTCATTTTGGATGCTTCGAACGTGATTGGTCAGTCATTGATTGTAACATGATTCTCTTCTCACGTCTCTTTTCTCTCTCTATATATATATATCTTCAAAAGTGTGTGTAACTTTCTATGAATATAAACTCGCATACCCTTTTCATGTTTTCGCTGTTTCAGATTGAATTAGGTACTAAAGTCACCAAATTTCGCATTATGGTATTGGTAGTTGCACTCGCATTGTTTCTGGGTGTCTTCCTCGCTGTTCTTATTTTGACCCCACGAGACCGTAAATCTGGTTCTTTTTTTATTTTTGATGTGATCTATGTTATGTTGTATTTTCAAATTTTGGGTATGCATGCTCTATGCGTATTTACGTGATTTCTTTGAATCATTCTCAGGGCAAAAGGGAAAAGCTCACTCAAGCCTGGACAATGATAAGGTATTCATTGTATTTGGATTGTGAATTCTACTATTGCATAGGTGATAATAGAACCATAAAGTAAAGCCATTAAAAGTGATTTTCTTTTTGTCTTACTGTTTTTCTTTATCGAGGCTTCTGGCTTTGTTCCATTAAATTTTGGATCTGGGTGAAACTAAATTTTGTGATATCTTGGTTTCAGTTGTTTAAGAAAATTTTGAGCCGAGTTTCTCATGATTTGGTATCATTTGAGTGTTTTAATTCCAAAAGAAAGAAAGCTTAAGTTAATGATGAAGCATATTCGTTGACACTCTTTTCAACTAATAGGTGGTGGGACAAGGCTTATTGTGGGGCCTACTCAGGATTTTACCCAATTCTAAGAGGGCGTTGAATAAGAGAGTGTCAAAGAGAATATCGGTAGCATCCCTTAATGATATGACTTAGTTATTTGCTGGAAGACTTATTTGTCGTTTAAGTTGATCACAATCTAAAAGCAAAGGCATGACTTTTGGAGGCCTTTAAGTCAGCTTTATCTTGGTATGGTTCTATGAGAGGATCAGAGTTTTACCATTTTTGGCTTTGGGGTTGAAATTTTGAAATTCAAGGAAGCCACAAATGAGGAATTAACTTTGGGGAGGCTAGTCTTCAGAATCTTGCTTATTGAGTGAAGCTGCCACCTTACACTTTGCCTAATGAAAGAGAGGACCCACTTAGCATTTAGAAAGAAAACTGTCATTCTTTTTCGTTACATTGTAGCAGCTTGTGTTTAGTTTGGTAAGATGGAAGTGTGCTTACCTCAGCTTCATTTTATACACTGGTCATGGTAAACTAGTTTGATTGGACTGGAAGCAAATGTATCTAGACTTGGAGCGCAAAGCTACTAGTGAACAATGAACATAACATGTTCAGTGTTACATTTTCCCAAAAGTCATTTTTCCTTGGGAAGGGGTAGTTCAAACATGATTGTGAGTGTTGTGTAGTTGTTGTGCAGTACATTTTTATCATATCATGCTCTATATACTGTATTTTTCTTGTAGGCTTCAAAATCCTACAGTAAAACTGAAGTTTCATTGCATAACAAGAAAACAGATTGTTGGATAATCATCAAGAACAAGGTATGATGTTTTACTGCTGTTTCATACTAAGCACCTTGTGATATGCTATTTCCATATCAAATCTTATATTCACCATTCAATCTTATCAATGCTACATTATTTGTTTTTTGTTCAATATTGGCAATGAGTTTGAAACTATAACCTCATACACAGTACCCAAACCCATCACCGCTCACCACTTGCCCAAGCCTTGGCTTGACTACATTATTTGCTAATGGTATGATTTGGCATTTTTACTGTTGTAACTGATCCATAGTTTTCATTTCTTGTGGTTCCATCCCACTATAGGTATACGATGTTACCTCATATGTGGATGAACATCCAGGCGGTGATGCCATTCTAGCACATGCTGGAGATGATTCAACTGAAGGGTTTTTTGGGTATGCATCCATTCCTCTTCCTGCATTGCATGTCTGTAGTGAAGATGCTTTTCTGAATTTACCTCTATTATATATAATTGTTTCCTTACATATTATTTTGTCTCAAATTCCCCAATAAAATATTTCTTGCCTCCTTGGTAATGGTATGTACCTGGAGTTAGATCCATATTATGTATCATGAAACAGCTAGCTATCGTAAACACTTACATTGTTACTTAGGTGAAAGCACATGAAGGGTTTTATATCTAACAATGTGTTGTTTAATATTAAATATGACAATGTAGCATTACCTTCTAAATTCATCACATTGCCTTGTTGTATCTATATATCACAATGTTCTTAGTAGATTCTGATGAATGTTATCTGGTCATACATAATATATTGGTTTTTGCTTGATAATAAATACCATGTTATATGACTACAACTATGAACTAAGCATCAAGGTCCCTCCCTCCTTCAGTCCTTCAGATGATGTATCAAATTCAACGGTAGCCCCCTCCTCATCCACAATAGATACTTGTTTTTCCTAAGACAGATGCAATATCATATGTCAGTTTTAAAACTAGGCATTAGTGGGAGACTCATTTTCCCAAAGCTCAATCCCCTGCTTTATCATTTCTCTATTTATATTCTCTGTACATGTTTGGTTGGTAAAGTTGATAAAACTTTCTTTTTTTATTTTATAATTTTCTTCTCCCTTGCCTCATCTGTCAACTTTACAATGCAGACCACAGCATGCAAGTCGAACTTTTGACATGATTGATGACTTCTACATTGGAGATTTGCAAATATAGCTTAGTCAATAGCTGCTGATTTGAACGTTCCAGAAATATGTGATTTCAGAATTTCAACATTCAATTGCTTGTTATCTCTCCAATTCTTTGCACTCTTTGTCTGATCATTTTTATCTTCCTTAGACAGTAAGTAATTAAGGTTTTACTGTTCAGAGTCAGAAGGTAGTTCAATGCATGATTTTGACATAAGAATGTGATGCAAACTGAGAATGATATGCATGAAATCATTTGTACTCTCGTGCTAGTAAATTGTCATTCATCACTAGCATGTTCTTGTGATACAAGGATATTATGATATCAATGCCACATAGGTCTCTTGGGTATCCGAGTACTAGCTTATGTTCAATTTAACTTTTACAACATCAAAAAGAAGTATTGTTTACTCAAAGTTATAAGAGTATATTATGTCATGTGTAACAAAAATATGGTATTGAGAAATTGAATGTGAATTGCAAACTGTATACGTTTAGCAATTCTTGCATGTTGTACATAAATTACAGAAGTGAATTGTTACAATTACAAAATCAGCTTACAAGAGGGAGGGCCTTGGGCTGAAAATATATGGGATTGAATGGGTAATTAAAAATGATACATATGGAACAAAGATTCTACCAGTGTAAAGAATCAATCAAATCATGAATCACTAAACAATAAATAAGACCAACTGAACTCTCCATCATTACTCAAAAATTGGGTAGGAACATGACACAAAATAGAGATTGAGACTTTGTATGCAGAATGAAGCCATTTCCTTCTACTCGGATCTCTTGGGTTGACGCCATAGTAACAATCTTTTGGACAAAGAACTGAGGAATGAGCCCTTGGTAGGCAACCCTTTCTTGCCATATAAATGTTTCCCTCCCAAGTCTGTGAAAACTGGACCCACATCTTGGCTTTTTGGTGCTCTTTCTATCTGAAAAATATTCAATAAACAATAAAAAAAAACGGTTGAGAAAATGTATTACAAAATTATGGATTGTTTAATTTCAGAAAATACTTGTTTATGTTTAATTTTTAATATTAATTACAAAAATGTCACATTGTTTTCATTCTATTTCTTGTTTATAAATTTTTAACAATTGAAAAGAAAATAAAAATAAGTGACAGTTTTGTAATTAAAACTGACATAGATAATAAACAGAAAATAAATTTTAAACCAAGCAGTCCCTACATGGTTCCAACATTTCCCCTCGTAATTGCTACTATATGCACATTTATAAGTATAGTTACACTTGGAATGGGAAGGTTGGAATAAAAGAACTAGCTTCAATTTGTATACAGAAATAATGCTTACTGAAGTTAACATAAAACCTTGGCCAAATTACCTTGTTGATTTTTCCATCTTTCAAGTAGTATCGAATACCAGACCAATTGATAGATTGAGAGAAATGAGAACGGAATGCACATAGTGGGTATAAAAAGTTATCCACCAACATTGCAATGAATACCTGCTTGAAACAAATATTTAAAATTAAAACAAACCATTGCTTACCCAACTAGTAATTTGGAGTGTTTCACATCCTTTTGCATCAGTATAATTCAAATATTCACATATTATAATCTTTTTTCCACACATTCACACAAGTCCATGCATCTTTTTTATTTCATAGTAACTTGTGCCCATGTCATAAAACACTAGATCATTGTTAATGATTATCCTAAAAAAGAAAATAATATTATCATCGTCAATATAATTAGAGTTTAAGGGTGATAAAGATTTATCAGAAAGCATCCATAGTACTTAAAAAGTGTAAGAGGTCTAGGGTAACATCACTCAATCCATCCACATACAAAGCAAGCTTGGAGAAATACTTACGAGACACCAGTTATAGGTAGCAAGAGAAAGTGGAGGTGTCTCTGGGGACAATATATTGCAAAGTTGAACTTCTATCCTTGTCAAGTTCCCCATTGAAGAAAGAGCAAGAATAGTGCATATGGCTAGGAACCACGTCAAAGTTAACCCTAAGGAAAAGCAAATTGTAAAGGTTTAATGGGATAGTTTATCTTAAAGATATGTTATGGCTTAAGCAATAACAACAACGTATTCTTTAACACATTTTTTTTTTATTATTGGCTAAAATGTATTAAAAATTATAAAATAATGTGAGTATTAAACGAGTTCCACTTATCATTATGCGATTTCCAACAAATTTCATCTAATCTAATTACAGTGTTAAAAGAGTGTGTTGTTAACACTCCTCAAAAGCACTTCTTCACAAGCCTTGTCCATTTTTTATGAATCTTGAATTCATAAATCTTGTAAGGAAAAATGCAACTTATAACAATGGAGAAGAATATGTCGTTGGATTATTAGAAGAAAAAAAATCCACATTATTATATCACAGTAAACAAGTCCATACCTGATTTCTTTCTTTCTCTTAATCTAATACCCCACAGGGGAGAGATGGTAAGAAAGATAACAAATAAACTTGGTATGAAGCGATTATGCAATTGTTACTATAAATTTTATGCAGTAAGTGCATGCTATTCCTGCATTAAAACACAAGAGACTCATCAAGAGTTTCCTAACACTTGACATGAATTGAATGGTATCCCTCACTATGTATCATCATCCTACCATATGTTTACACATGAATCAACACTAATAACCTACCTAAAAGAAAAAGTTAATGTTCTCACCACCAGAAGTGTAGGTCGTTTCTTCAAGTGAGTACCCCTTAAAGCGAAATCTTAGCTCTGCCAAAACATGAATCATTGCCATAAAGTATGGCATTGCAAACCCCCATGACAAATAACAATGAACCGCAAACAATGCACGATTCATTATTTGGTTAACTCTCGTTACATATGACTCCAAAACAAATGTTTGTTTCCTCAAATAATTCCAGTACCTGCACGTTTGAATAATTAACAAAGAATATACAGTGAAACTTTAATTTCAGGTGAGCAATAATCACAAACCTTGCAAAATTAAGATCACTTGCAAGGGGATGAGGAAAGACAGCAACTGGAGGAGAAGTAATGAGCCTTTTGTGTGCTCCTGAAAGTGACAGTGTCATGGTAATGAACCACATAATCAATGGGAATGAATGACCAGGGAAAATATTTAATTATATTGCCAAAAGAGTAACTATGTTAATTGAATCACTATAGTCTCATTGCACTTCTGCTTGAAAAAAGGGCAAATATCAGATATTTTAGTTTTTATTCAAAGAAAAAAAGAAATACTTTTTTTCTGCAAAAGTGCATAAATAAGCAGAAAACAATTGCTAGAAAAACTCTTCACATGCTATTATGTACTATTAAAAAACTAGCTCCTTTATGGATAGATAATCTTGTTTTTTTTTTTCAATGAGAGTGGATCACATAGTTTTTAGCCCTATGAACAGGGTAGAGGGAGGTCAAGAACAACTGTAAAGGAAATTTAATAGGGATTTCATGGTAAATAATATTTCTGAGATTTTGGTTTTTATTAAGTCTAATAGCATTGTGCAACCCAAGTAGCCGATTTCACCTAATCGGATAAGGCTTTTATTATTGAAAATTTCTGATAAAGTTGTTATAAGATGCCTCAAGTGTTTAATTAATCTTAAATTTTGATATAAGTATCCAAGATGTACCAGCTATGGCTGCAAGAGTCATATCATCAGAATATCCACCATCCCGAAGTCCTGAGACTACACCACAATTATCTCGCCTAAAGTCTTCAGCATGCATCTGTAGAAAAACTAAATAGTTAGACTGCAAGTATTTTTAAGCACTAATGAAAATAAAAGTAGAAACTACTTGCCATCATGCACCCTCCCCACAAGAAGAATGTTGTTCCACCAGTGGCAAAGCCCATTGAACAAGGCTGTTGAACAAAATAAAAAATGGGAGCAAATGAGTCAAATAAGTATAATTAAAATACAGTAAAGCCTAAATATAACCATTGGCTCCATTACTAATGTAGTAACATGTTACAATTTTACATTCATAACTGCTAGCTCCTAGCAAGCATGAGACATCTAATGAATTCTGATACCAAAGCCAAAATTCAATTAGCTAAGTTTTATGGATACCAATAGGCTTAAAACAAATGGAAAAAGGAAGAGAACACAATCCTAGACATTTGCTGCAAAGATTAAAGATGTAAATCTAGTAGTTGTGTACCATATGGTATTCATAGATGCAGTAACTCCCTAGACTTCCAGATGGCAAATCAAGAGGGTATCCAGTTTGAATAAATATCTGTTAAAGCATCAAAACAGTTTAGAGTGTAACCAAATAATTTTAGGCAAGTGAAACCATAAATAGTTGAACAGAACACTTAAAGAGAGAACCATAAGAAACAATTTTTTTGAGGTATACCTCAGGGTTTTTCTCCATCTCACGAGTGAGTGCTCCAATTGTTCCTGGATGTAGCCTAACGTCATCATCTAAAAACAATACATACTTGCTGTCTTTATGCATTGAATCCACTCCAACCTGCCCAAGTGCCAATACAATGTAATACTAGTGTAGGTAGAAAATGCACCATGCAAGGACAACTTAACAAATCAACAAGAATGAATTGCCCTGTTATTCCACATCAATACGTAAATGCTAGTCCTTCATAGATGTATTGGCCTAGCAAATGTTATACAGATTATATGTTTTCCAATGACTAGTCAATTTAACAACTAGGATGAATAAGCATGTTCACATACTGACTTCAAATTAAATATAAGGATGAAAACATCAAGTTTCAACTTTCGAATTGAACATGGCCCTACTTTACATTAAAAATACTAAGAATACACACAAAAATACTAGTGAAATTGGTATGTATACCAATTGATTGTGAATTTTTTGACTACAAGTTGTTGACAAACCAGCTACTACAACCCTAGCATCAACCGAACCCTGCATGCATCAAACAGACATTAAATTAAGACAGAAATTTTCATCAATTTATATGAAAAAAAGCCCAAAACTGCAATAGAGTCATGTAAGGGCACTAAAACGATAGAATCAAATTTTAATATGAGTTTCACTTGTACCTCAAATTCTGCTATTAGTCTTGATACAGCATGGTATGCAGGATCATCAGTACTTTCAACCACTAAAAGAAATTCTAAAGGGCCTCCATAAAGGGATGTTAACTGCGGTTGTAAGAGAATAGAACCATAATAACCAAAGATTTCTGGTAAAAAAGACAATCTAGAGTGTTTGTCATTTTTTAAGTTGTTTAAATTCTGTATTTAAGGGTATTTCCTATGCCTTTTTTTATTGAAATTGATTTGCTTGCTTATATAAAAAACATTATCAAAGTTATAGTGGTGTGTGTCCTATACCTGACTCCTCCAGTTGTGGAGATTGTGCTCTCCAAACCCTTTTAGGGGCATAACGACTGTCACTCTTGGCAGATTGACCTGACTGGAGTGCTCAAGTTCATTAATCTCATGGCAAAGGAATGCAAAGCTATTGCCATTCTTCATACTATTCTTTATTCGTTTTATTTCTCTATTCCTGTAAGCCAACAAAAAGGGCTATAAATTTTAGTTGACACAATGATAAATGAGTTTCCTTACTGTTTGACGTCAGTGAGTACCTGACATAAGCGGCACCAGCCCACCCAATAGCAAGGAGTAAACAAATTACACATCCCTGCACATTGAACCAAAAAATGGGAGTTTTATGACACAGCATCATGGTAGATTTTCCCTTAAAAAAAGGGATGAATACAAGTTATAGAAACATATTTGAAGGAAAAACAAATATGTAAATAATTATCTTGAAATCATACAATCCAAAGGCAAGGCATGATAGGATAGTCCAATGAAATGAAGAAAAGGAAGTTCAAAGAAAATTGGGAAAAAAAATTAAAGATCTATATACTACCTCAAGGGGACCAGTGATATACAAAGCTTATATCCATATGTTAAAAAAGCTTGCATTACGTCTTCTGTTAATTTCATTTCACTCGATAAGCATGCAAATTCATAATTTCAGTGTAGTTTGCCCTTTTACCCTGAATCATACTCTTAAGACATTTTACATGAACCAAAATCAACTTAGGGGGAAATTTCATATCATAACCATGTTGTAACCGGATATTTTGCTAAATGCTTCTATTTTGTAATATATATTCAGAAACACCAATGCTTGGATTAGACACCTGCTAATCAGTATGGACTGGGGCAATAATGCTAACTAACAAGAAGTACTTCATTGGCGTATTGTGTGGATGCTACTTATTGCGTATAAAGTGAAGCCACCTTACAAATTGTCTTCTAGATAAAAGAAAAAGAAAAACATAATCCCAAACTAAGTCATAACCATCAAACCAAAGTTAAAATATGAATTGCCTATTGTTACTATATTCGGCCATAACCTCAATTGGCATATAGATAATAAAGAGCAACAAAGTGCACATTGCATATCCATAACCAACAACAAACAAAAATTTTAACGAACTCAAGAAATTTGAATTATACTTTTTTACATTTTAAAAAAAAGCTATGTAATTGCGAAAAGGGGTTGAAAATCGAAGCATGCAATACAGAAAATGAGCAAAGTTGGATGAAAAACAAAGAAAAAGGAGAGAAAATAAAAACCTGGGCCTGAAAAAAAACGGCAAATGGAGAGGATAAGTCATTGCTGAGAGAGAAAAGGAAGAAATCAAGAGAGTCTAAGGAAGGCATTGCTATTGTGACTCTTTTTCCTCTGTTGCCTGTTTTCTTTATTCCTTTGAAACTCTCTGATTCTTTCAACACAAACTCATGCGGGAATGTTCATTTCATTGATTGAGTTAAGCCTATTTCTATGTCTATCATTTGAACCACACAATCTAACACAACACGACCGTTCTTTCTTTTGCTTGTGTTAAAACAAAAGCTTAAAATAGAGAAGATGGGGAGTGACCGTTGGATTGGTAGTTATTAATAGGTACGAGAAACATACCAAAGAGACATTAACAATCATGCAAGGTGTCACTTGCAGAAGATGCTTCTGAATCTTAATTTCTCTTTCTGTCGCTTTCATATTATAACTTTTTTTAAATTCTTTTTTATTTTTACCGAAGTACAAATTAATCTATATTCAACCTTCACTTGATCATCATATTTTATATTACACGCTACAAAAAAAACGTGCCTTCTTTTATTGCTTTGCATGCATGCGTGCCTTCATTTTTATTTTTATTTTTGTGTGATGAATAAATTACTTGGATGGATCATGCTATTTGATTCGGCATACTACATTTACTGAATGATCCACCTTTTACTTTAACATTGTATATGTATATTGGTTAAGGAACTAAAATTTGAAAACAAAAAATATAAATTCTGATAAAAAAATATTTGTTAAAGTCTATATTAATTATTAATGCATCGCATTATGCTTAATTATTATAAAATTAAATATACTGGATGCCTAACACATTAGCATGAGTATGCGGCCATATCACGCATTAGGGAAAAGAAGCTGAGAAGTTTCAACCAAAAAGAATTCACATCTTGGATAATGTCTATCCTAAAGTATTTGCAACTTGAAACTAAGAATCATCAAAATTTTGACCTTTTTCCAACTTTATCTATCTGTAGTACCTCGGTATATACTGCATGAACAAAGAGAAGATGCTCACGTGAATATGGCAGATATTTCATGTCAAACACACCTACATAATATAAAATTAAAGCTATTTTTTTCTATATAGGGAAATGCAAAGGAGACAAATGAGAAAATCAGCTTTTTTGTTTATATAATTTGACTGTTTAAGTAAGCTAACGTAGAAAGTAAAAGTCTATTTATCAGTATATTTATAAAATACTTGAATTTGATTTTAAAATAGATAAAAGTTCATTCTATCATTTTATATATTTTTTCATTTTAGACAAACCCGCTTCTCATGGATAAAATGTAAATCAACTTACGATTAATGCAAATCATATACGTATTCAACCTAAATTGCTGCAGCCAAAATGATGCAGACCCGCACTGCATGATTTCTAAAGCTAGTATGATGCAAATCACCGCCTCTTATTTGTTAATTTGGCTATGAAGAGACATTTGAAGTGAAAATATAAGTATTTATTTATCGTTGATTTTAACTTAGTTACATTTTAAAATATTTAAATTTTAATTAATAATGAATAAATCTTTAGTTTATCGTATTTTTATAATCTATCACTTTACAAAAATAATTTTACTCATCTTGCAGATGCTTAAAATAATTGAAGGAGCACCATGAAGACCGAAATTTCCCGGTTATGATCATATCGTCAATGCATTTTCAAAATACCTTTTAGAAATACACAAAGTTACTCTTATATATAAATGAACAATTTTTTGAAGTTTACAATAAATAGGATAATACCTAACAATGTTTTCTGATCATACAGTTTTTTCTAGCAAGTATTTGACGAACAATCAATGAATTATAGGTGTACAAATGCAACAATGCAAACTAACGTTGCATTACACAATATCTTCGGAAGATACAGAAGAAACCCGATCCCTGATCAAGGGAAATTTATCAGGTAATTTATATAATGCCCCGTCACTTACAGAGCCTTGAAATGCAAGACCTAGTGTGTATCCCAAAGCTCGAGCTACTGGAACTGCAACTGCATTCCCAACTTGAATGTACCTAAGAAAATATCAAGTTCGGATCAGAGCCACCCAAAAACACGAAAGCCAAACTGTAACCGCGTTTGCTGAACACTTTTCAGAAAGCTTATGTACCAGTTTTACATAAAACTGAGAACCACCAGTCTCAAGTTCAAGCCCAATCCTAACTTTACTTTTGTTTTTCTTACCTTTCTTTCACAGGCCCACATAGCTTATAAAAGTCTGGAAATCCTTGGAGTCTTGCATTTTCACGAATTGTCAACACTCTATCTTGCTCTGGATGTAAAATTGCCTAACAAAAAATTTGGCAAGATACATAAAATGACAATTCTAAGGTGAAAACGCATGATAAAACAGAAATTTGTCCTCCGTATATTTTTGTTCCCGACATGTAAGGAAGCTAGGATATACTAAGAATTAACAAAAAAATAAAAAATTCCTAAATTTAAAACATAGTATCTGTACATGGTCCTTAAAAAATATTCAAAACCAAATTAATCACCTTATTAGTTCTCGAAAAATATTATATCTAAATTAACCTATCAAAGTTCAAATCTTCTTCCAAATTAGCCATCTAAAGATCTAAAATGATAACAAAAATTCTTGATGAAATTTTATTAAAATCAGTCAATCTTTGAAACAGTAATTTAATGATAACTTAAGACCAAAAACTAAAATACTCACAAAAGGATTGTTAAATAATTAATTTAATGATAAATTTTACAAAAATAATCTCATCATACATGTAACTTTAAAAGATCAACTTGAAAGTTTATTCATTAACGATAACAAAATTAAAATAAGGAATAAAATCCACTTTTGTCCACCACAAATGTACATACTTTTAATCTACTGTTTTCAGGATTATGTTTATTTTAATTTATTAAACATCACATCCCTAATTTTTATTCTTCTATTTTCATAATTCTATTATCCAAAAATGTTTGTAACGACACCAAAACTATATTTCATATGTTCAACCACATGGGCACATTTTCAACTACCAGCATCACAGTAAAATATATCAAGAGTTGAAATTGCTAAAAATTTGAAGTTTGTGACTGAAAAAAAAAATATTAGTAAAATGTTTATCAGACCCCAAGGATGAATTGTAATATCAAATTTATAATACAAAAAGCATACCTGATTGTGAGGTTCTGCTCTTGTTACAACGGTTGGAACAGTTTCATCCCACCATAACCGAGCGAAAGGCCTATAGAAATTTCATAAAATATTTCAAGAAAATATAAAGTTAATTTGGATAAACTCTTTAGCAAAGAACAATAAATAATAATAATAATAATAATAATAATAATAGAACTTTCCACATAAATAAAAACTAACTTGTACGTCTCAACATTTTCAAAACTAACCCATCCTAACAACTTGAAAGGATCTTAACTTAACAGCAAGGATTAGAAAAACAAGCACTGAAATAACCAAGTTATCTATCCTCAGCCTAAATTAAAATTATTGTGTGAAATAACTTACTTTGATGATGTTCCATTCACAAAAGACATGGCATAATCCGGAACCTGTGATATCAATGAAAGAACCACATTACAGAAATGTGTATAGAATAAAAAAATATATGAAGAAAATGCAAATTTTGTTGAAAGGAATTTAGTTAAAAAAATCATGAATATAAATTACTATGAAGCTTAGATACTTAGCACAACAAGGATATGATACAATAAAGATCCAAGGATATGAAAAAAATTTGAAATTCAAGATACAATACAGCTTAGATACGTTAACATGAATTTAAAGAAATAATATGCTATATATATATATATATATATATATATATATATACAAAATATCTATAAAGAGATACTAATAATTTATTTATATTAATGTGTTATATTTAGATATCAATGATCATATCTTACAAAAATAATACATGAGATCATATTTTTCCTTTGTCTAAGTAACTAAGTCAAGATATTTTTCCTATTATAAACACAAAAAAATTACATATTTTACCTTCCCTATTCAAATTAGAATTCTACAAAAGAATTAGTAGTTCTATCTAAAAGAAATATAAAACTATCACAAAAAGAAGGTCTTGTCTTTATACTATTTAATTTTATCTAAACTATATCGAATGATTAGGAGCCATATTCTAGTAATATCTAAGTCATATTAGGTTAAAAATTAATTATTAAAAATAAATTAAACTATAGATGCTTTTGAGATAAGTATCTAGATGTATTGGATACGTGTCTGACACGGATACGTTTGCTATTTTAAAGTATCTAAGCTTCCTAGATGAATTAACAAGTTGGTTGTCAATAATGGGTGTAGAGTGTAGACAATGATTTCAAATCCATTTTAAGGTTTTCACATTGACATCATGCATTTAATACATCTTTCAAATCAAAGTCAGATTCATGATATGCACTTCACTCATTAACATAGTTCTTAAAAATGGATGGCTGATTAACAAAAACTCTTAAACAGGAATGGTTGAAGAGATATTAAAGCCTTGTTACCAATGGTTTTCCTGAATCCAGGTAAACACGTTCAACATTAGGATCCCATTCAACCTTATTGTCAGCTCGCACAAGAACACCTGGTAAATCTCTGAAGCATCCACCCTAACAGCAATAAAAATTTGTTATTATCAAATTAAGCTTAGAATTAATAGTACTATTCTATGGTACATAAATGCTCAAGGAAAATAAATAATAAAAAAACCTTCGTTTTTGGGATCTGACACACACGTTGAAAATCATCGGAATTTAATTCTAGTGGGCGATGATCATAAATCAAGGACTTGGGCAATTTAGTTCCACTTGAAAACCCCAACATTTCTGCACATTGCTTACATAAATTACTGGTTGGAAAGTGTGCCACAAATCCACATGGAAAGCCAAGAATATCTTTTCTTTTGGAAACACTAAGACATAATATCTGATCAAACTGGTGAGATAAATTAGAAAGAAAATTGTAAATTACACACCCCAAGTGAGTAGTACCTTTTACACCCAAGCACTCCTCACAATTCAAAAACTTAATATCTTAATCTTTCAAGATTAAAAGGAGATTTCCTCCAAAATCAAATATGAATTCCAGAAGCATATAAATTTACTATGCATAGAAACAATTCTGCCATTTTTTTTTATAACTTTATTTACCAGTCTCAAAAAAGCAAGGGCTAAATTTGGATACGAAGTCTGATGTTTTCAGATGTAAGAAAGCAAGATCTTCAGAGAGCAATCAAAGAAAGTCATGAATCAATTTCATTTGCTTGAAGCAATGCTAACAAAGTATTTGAAAAGGTTCTTGTTAATGTTCCAAGGAGGTTTGAAGCTCAAGTCTCTCTCACAGGACGTACAAAACATAATTACAATACTATAAGTAATGTTAGTGTTTTTCTCCTACCTGAAATTTCTTTGATAATATGTATTGATCTATAATATTGGTGTTCTAACCATTAATGCAAACTTTTATTATGCACGTAATCAAAGTAAAACTCTAACTTAAATTAAAAAACTTTACCAAAAATACATATAGTATTACACCTAAGTTTTGTCCAAAAATATTTCCGTAAGTTGTCTTTAATTGAAGTGGTCAATGACTCAATGCTCTTACTACAAACCCAAATGAGTTACAAATAGTGAGCTAGTAGTTAGCTAGAAGTTGTATATACAAATGAGATGATTGAAGGGACATGGCTTCATTTTGATCTGTTATTGTTTGTAAACTGAGCATTAGCTATGCGTGGAAGTTTGAAAATCTTCAAAATTAAAATTTCTCCTCTATTTTGTTATTCAATAGAAAGAGCATTTTCTGATATTTTGTTTTTATGTCATTAAGAATTTGGCTCAACCTACCCAAGCCAAATTCCAAGGAGATGCAAAATATTGGATCTCAAGTTGATAAACAAATAAAAAATTTGATGAAGCTCTTGGAAAAAATGAATAGCATTCAAGGACCACAACCTGTTACATTGGATTACAATATTAGAGATCAATAGGAGTATTGAATGAATCAAATAGCTTGAGCAAATGCTGTGTAACTTGCTGATGAAACAAAACAAAACAAAACTAGAATCAGATGAGGCGACTAAAAAGGGTGATCCAATGGTAGAGAAGATCAAGAAAAGTATCAAAGAGAAAGGAGAAAGTGATACTTCATTTCATGAATGTGTACAAAAGAAACAAGGACTCAATAGTAAGGAAGAATGAGTGACTTAACACCATGGAAGAATTGTGTAAAGCTACAAAGAAGGTAGATGAATTTGTAGTAGAAGATGATGAACAATCTGCAAAAACTGCAATTTGAAGTAAATTGTGATGGGAATGAACAAAAATGTAATTTCAAGTATTCTAATGGAAGAATACCTCACTTTGGTCAAAAATATTATCGAGAATAATAATGACAAAAGCTTCTATGTGACACCCATAACCATTGTTAAGATATTCTACATCAGCTAGAAATAAAGCCAAAATACTCTTTATAAGGCCTTGGACAGCCTTCTTTGAGAGGAAGTTAGATCTAAGATTTCTAATATTGTATTAAAATATATCAAGTTTGAATGTTGTATTGTCCACACATGTCCAGTCTTATTGGGATACTTGCAAATGACCAATGTCCAATCCTACAAACTTCAAATATCCCAAACCAGCTAGAAATAAAAAGAATACTCCTTTGTAGACAAGACAGAAAACAACCACATTTAGGGCTGCAATTTTGATGGCAATTCAATTATAGATTCCTTGCCATTTCTAGGTCAACTCAAACTTTGATCCTAGCTATGCCAAGACATCTACTCATCCTTCATTTCCAAAAGTACCAAATTTAATCATTAAATCAATGTTATATAAACCATCAAAGTATTTGAAATGTGCCAAAATAGATTTTAAACCAATTTTTTATTAAATTGTGTGTATTTTTTAATTCAAAAATTGACTTCACATTTATAAACCAAGCAGACAATTGATCCAAGTAAATAATATTACAGTATGAACTAATTTTTTGCTTCTAAAAGGATAAAATTAGAAAAAAACAGTACATGAATAAATTTATATATCAAAAGCATAAACATTTAATAATGTATTACCAGTTTTGGTTAATCTAATGAATTGCTGAAACTCTGTTTGGGCTGGTTTGCTATATTTCATTTCATCACAACCTTCATTATTCTTAACCTACATACATTAATATATTCATTAAAAACTGAACACAAAATAAACATAGCCAAATTAAATAAACAAACTGCAACCATAAAAGTATACCAAAGGGAGGTCGGAAATAGCATCTTCCAACAACAGCTTTCTTTGTAGTTGAACATTATGTCCTTCATCATATGCAACTGTGTTTATCTACATTGTACATTAAACATAGAAAATATCACCAAATAAATCAAAAAAGTAACAATAACCAAATATTTTCCCACTATACACAGATTAAACATCTGTTTTCTAATGTGCATCATGACCAAATACAAACAATCCATCACTAAATTCTTCAAAAACACGTTTTTTTTCCTCAATTTCCATCTAATCTTTACTACCTGATTGATTCAAAAGAAGGAAAATGCAAGAAAAAATAAGTAAATTTGAAATGAAGTGAAAATTTTAAATGTGTTTCTAAAAATCAAATTTTATCCCATTTTTCTATTCAACCAAACAAAAAATAAAATTTCACAGGGGCCCCATGCTTTTCTCCTTTATTTTCTTCCCTCACCCAAACAAATCATTAGTGATAAGACTATCATAGATCAAATTTACTCTCAATGAGACTTTTACCAATATTTTAACCACAAGCCCAAATCACTTAAGGCAATATCGCAAAAGATTAACTAACTCCAAAAGTTAACTCATAAGCTTAACTTTTATAAGCTCTACTTTAGTCATAAGCATAATAAAACATTTGATTTTGAAGCATAAAAATTATAGAACTATTTTCTTATTGCAATGAAAAAGCTACAAGATTAGTCAAGTTGCAGTGGAAAATCACAAGAATAGGTAGGTTATATTTAGGAAATCCATAAAGCTTAGTTAATTACACTGAAAAAAATCCAATGTCTGATCTACAATATGCTTTGATATGATTTTAAATTTGAGCTAAAACCTAACCTAACCTACCCTCAATAGCTAACTCATAAGATCAAAATTGGCTTAACCTTTATTAATTGATTAAATTCTACTTTAATCATATATGTAATCAATAAATAATTCAACAGTGTTAAACTTAAATAAAATTCTGATATAATTAAACTAAACTAATATGTGCCAAAAATGATCTTATTCAAAAACAAAAATTTAGAACAAGTAATTTACATTAAAAATGTATAAATTGTATTTCCATCAATGAATGAAATGAGATCTTATTCTCAATACTTTTAATGGCCTCAATGTCATAAATGTAATTCTATTGTTATTGTGCCCCTCACTAAGAATACCAACACATATAGGGACCAGGATAAGGGCCCAAGCTCAAGAAGACAAAATGTGTAAGTTGTTCATGACTGGAGGAGTGTGTAACATGTGAGGGGAATATATAAGATAATGGGGATACATGGAAGGTAGTGTTGCATTATTGAAAAGCTGTTTACAACAAACTAACGCAATGTTGTTTCTCACATATCCCCACTATCTCTTTATACATCCCCCTCACATGCAACACAAACTCTTACAATTATAACTAATTTACACATTTTGCCTAGTTGGACCTAACCCCTTTATCCTGGTTCTTATCAAACACACCCTCAGATCTCACTCTAACAATTCAAAGAATGGTGTTAATCACATGTCACTTGTTATCCACAAAAAATTTGTCATTTAAATACAACTAAACCAGATACATGTTACTACTCTGATTACAACCACACACCAATGTAAAATGGTATGCATACTCTAGTTGTGTAAGCACTCTTCCAATTCAAAACATGTTATGAGGAAATTATCAATATACACATACCTCAAACTCCAAAGGAATAACACCCCTTACAATAACATCATGAGTGGGAAGTGGGAATTGAGGCAACTTCTGCAACATATTAAAAAATATATTATAAAACAAAAAATCCACAAGCACTTAAATTTAACAAAATAGACAATTAATCTTCACCTGAGAAGGTGCAGCCCCCCATATGAAGACACGCAAACGAAACTGAGGAAGCCCGTAAGCACCTGCAGCCATAATTCCCAAACGACATTGATAATTCATTTGTAAGAGACGACCCAGTGCATATCTCCCAAGAAAACCATTTGCAAATTTTACAATATCAACCACATTTTCCATCAATGCAAATTTGGGTTGAAGATATTGAACAATATCCATGAAAACAACTAGTTGTTTGTTCTTCTCATCCTCCAAAGGGTTCTCTTTGTTTCGAAAGCGGTTGAAACCACTAATACCTTGGCAAGGAGGTCCACCACATATTACATCAACATCTCCCTTCAACACAATAAGGGCAACAAATATAAAATAGATAGATACATAGCAGAATTAGTTGTTATAATAATTTATCAAAATCATCATCTTCATATATTTGTTGTTAAGTCTAAAAAGGTAAACACTAAACCCAATTCTTAAAGATATTGTACTAAAATTCAATTAGAACTTACAGGCAAAGGCAATATCTTTGAGTTGAAGCCTCGAATGACAAAATCCTTTACCCTTGCTTTGCAGTTACTGTTGTAGAGACAATATTTAGAATATAAACATCTAATGTATGAATCTCAATACAACTACTATGAATTAGCCAAAACATGAAATCATTAGTGTTAAATTAAACAATTAGGTTTCCAAAAGAAATATAAAAGAAAAAAGAATTCATGTATTGGAATATGAATTAAAAGTGAAACCTGCATGTCATTTCAAAAAAAAAAAATAAGAATTATATACTTAGAATCATAGTAGTCAATCCCAAGTAATGACAATGACACAGTGCAGTCAACCTTAAAAACGCTATAATAAGATAGAGGGTAATAGGATGATCACTATTTTGAAGTTTTAAGATACCCTTAACATAGATTATACTACACATACAAAATGAAGGAATTGTTAAAAAATGGGGCAAACAAGGGTTAAGAATTGCTGAAAATTGCATGAGTGTGTTGCAAAACAGCACAAATAAGGGTGAGCCTTGCTGGAAAGTGCTCACACTTGCTGGAAAATGGCCCACGGGAGATTCTGGCCAGAAAAGATGGACTGCTCAAAATCTCACCAGAACAAGGTGAGTCTTGTCAGAGTCAACGGCTGCTAGGGTTTGCAACCATGGGGCCACTACACTCCGCAACAGGACTATAGCATCACTACAATGCACTATTGACTGCTATGCTTAGAATTTGGATATTTTAAAGGAATGGCTTTTTCCAACAGGAAAGTAATGAATTATAACATAATTTTAAATTTAATGGAGCAAATTTACCATTTACATTAAATGATATCATTTATATTGAAATATAACATTTTACCTATTTAAATTTAATTGCCAATTTGTTGATTTTGCTATGAAGTTAAACTGTAGACCTTGCTTCCAAGAGTTTGCAAGAATAAGCAGTATAAAGACAGACAAATAGTTTGTAAAATGTTTAAGCTTACCTTAGAGCTTGAATTGGCTCCCAAGTATCTGCATCAGGTCCATAACCCTTCCACCGAACCTTGAAGACATAAAAAAAAAACCCAACAAATTGAAAATAATTGTAGCAGAGGCAAAGGGAGAAGTAGGTAGTCACAAACTTACAGTAACAGCTAGATTAAAAAATAAAGCTAGAGGCTAAACAACTACCTTGAAATATAACGCTTGATCTTTTCTCTTATTAGGATCACCATAGCATATAGCTAGGAGTTCAGATACTTCAAATACTTCATCATCATCATCATCATCATCATCATCATTTTCATCATCACTTTTTTCATCATTACTACAAGTGCCATCATCCTCTTCACTAAAAAGATCCACATAGTACTCATCTGGTACCTTCTTTTCAACCAGAGAGAAGTAGCTACATAATCTTTGCCACTCTTTCAATAATGAAAGAAAATTTTCTGCTGATTCATTTCTAACCTGATAGAAAAGTAAGCAGTATAGGTAATGTATAAGTTCTCAAAAAATATGGAACCCAATAAAAAACAACACTTAAAATGGAATGCAAACCCAATAATGCAAAGGTAAGCATGCCTACTTAATGTTCATATTTATTAAAAACAGCATTATTCAATGAAAGAGACATTAAATTCAAGGACCTCTAGAATGTTTTGCCCCAAAAAAATACTTTATGAACCTGTTATATTGTTCCTTTCTAACTTCCCTCTCTCATGTCAATTGATAAGAAGTATAGTTTGATGGTTCGGTGGTTCCAGAATTTGAAACTATCAAATCGTACACTCATGTTGAGGTGTTGAGGCCACCCAAAATCTTACATTCATGACTAACAATGGCCCTGCCATGCATATCCCTTATATCACAAAAAAATTCATATTAACTCTCTAATTGTCTACAATAGGTTTATCATTTCCACAGTTAACATATATTAGAATACAACCAACTTGATTACTAGAATGCATAGTATTGTTGTTGTTCATCATATCAACAGGTTAAAAACTACCTAGATGACTATGTGCAATTCTGTGTAACACTAAAGATTACTTTTTTGAGAGGGTTAAGTGACATATTAATAGAAATCAGCCTTTGGAAAATAAGGTGTGCATTTCATTTGTTTTTTGCTTTTCATTTTCAGCTGGGATGTTTTCAATTCACCATATTGCTTTGAATATGTTCCCTATATATCATATCATAACAACCTTCTCTAACACAAAATATGAAGGATGCAAAACAATAGTTAGCACAATACATAACAAATAAAGAAATAGAATTACCTCAGTATCAGGATGGTTTAACTTAAGACTTTTACAAGCATATCCATTCAAATCCACTGCCCATTTCTATTGAAAAGGATTATTTAGCATTAGATCAAAATAAACACAGCAAGAACAAAATAAATTGAAAGGATTGCTTTACCACAAAGAATCAAATAACTCACAGTATAAAGGTTCACGCCAGATAAAACTCCACCTTGACACAAACCAGTTGACATTGCTCCACAACCACAATATAAATCTAGCAACTTCAGCTCAGGATCTTTATTTTCTTCAGGAAGAAAACCTTCCTTAAATACAGAGTTCACTTCAGATTTCCCATTTCCCTCAGTCTCAGATGATATTGTTGATGAAGTCTCACTACCAATTTCCCTACATTCTGAGTTGCAAGTTTACACCAAAAATGAGCAGCAGTTAAAAACATAAAAATGAAAATAGAATTCAAAAAATTGATCGAAGGATAAAATTAAACCTGATGGTAAGTAGACAAATGTGGAGTACGGCAAGAGATATTGTGTATCACAATAATAATCACAAGCTGGAAGAGTTTCCTTCTTAGCATATGAATCTACCTGGAATCAAACTAAATTATTACAAAAATCTGGAAAGTAATATTACCAGTAATAACAAATAAAAAAATAGAGAAAGCAATACAAAAGATAATCATAACCAGCTAATGTACATTTAGGGGTATTCTGGCAATGTTTAACTTTTCAACAAGACAATCCAATGGGTTGTCGTCTTGGACTTCTGAAAAGAAAACTCGTTCTGGTTCAATAAGATATGCAAGGTTTTTAATGACCTGAGAAGTAAAGAGATTCAAACTTGATAGATTACCATCAAATTGCAGTTGAACACAACATAAGATCTAAAAACAAACAACAAAATACAACTCACTGTGTCTTTTGCCCTGTAATACCATTGTGCCGTAAAATACAATGTCCCATCAACTGCCTCAAACATCTCAACAATTTTACAAATATAATTGTCCTCTCCTTCCTCTGCCTGAATATGAAAAATGTACAGATCACATCATTGATGTCTACAGCGTGAAGGCAAATGTGCAGCAAATAAAAGTGATATTACAATAACTGAAAATGAAACTCTATAGTCATTTGGTGCATCCATATACTAGGCTAACCCAATCACATTCCAGTCTCATCCCTTGACACTTCTCAAAATACAGTGCTTGTTTAGTGTTTCATTTGTCTATTCAAAATCGATTCTTCACACAAAACCAATTGTGAAAAGCAAGCTGTACATGAAGTTGAGTGGCAGCAATATTTTTACAATTAAACTTGAATCATTTCTTGGCATATTCCAAACAATCTCTTAGTCATATTGACATAAAGAGTTTTAAAATTGGGACTGTTATCACAATTGCAGATGTTCATATAGAAATTCTGGAGGCTTACCTAATGGCAACGAAAAACACAAATTCAATCAGATAAATGATTCCCAGGGATACACAATGAGTAGTTCTGTTCATTGTGGAATAAAGTGGTTTCACGTTTTCAGCACAACTATTTTCCAAAACATAGAGAATCAAGCAATGAGACAATAAACTGTTTTAAACCGAACCACAGAAACAAGTTAGAACCATGCATGTTATAACTGCACTGAATGGAAATAAAATAGTAAACATATTCAAACTCACTTTAACATGGGCATCATCATAAAGTTTATACAGCATAGATCCATCTACTTCCGCCTGTGTGTAGTGACGTCGAGCCTGAAGAATCTCCTCGTCTACGTTTCTATGCATAAAAACAAAGTATAACACATCAGCACAGGATTGCGAGTCTGCGACCAACACCTGGAAGCTCCAGAGAAAAGGAAGTGACCCATAACTTAAAAAGTCAATAAGTACAGTTCTCCTAAATCCTAACATACAACATACCTGTTTGATTTTGACCCAGCGGATTGTTTCTTTGTCTAAAACCAAGAAAAAAAGAACTAGAATTAAAAATGCGCTGGTCACAGATCAATCATAAAAAGATAAACTACAGTCTACATGTATACAGTTTGCAGAAACAGTAACAATTAAAAAACTAATTATGTATTTAAAATTAAGAAAAAGATCAAATATTTAAAACATTTAAAATTTATAATTTTAAAAGTTAGAACACAACTTAGATATAACTAAGTTTCACGAATAAAACTAGGTGTTTAGTCTTAAAATTATTTAGCAAAGTACATAATCTTATGCTTAATTAGTTACATAATAATTTTCATTATATCAAAATAAACATTTCTAATTTTTTTTTCTATTAAACAGAGCTAAAAAGTCATTTATGAATATTAGAATGGTACATAAAAAAACAACAAATGTCATTTTTATTACTATTTTGTGATCTTTATAATTACAAATTATGAAAGTGACTAAATCTTCTTTAATCATTCCTTAAAATAAAAGGTCAAATTTATATACATTACATTTTAATATTTAAAACTTTAAATTTGTAAAATGTCATTTTTTATCATAGTATATTAAGAAAATAAAATAAAATTTAATTTATAAAATCAAAAACTAATAAAAAAAATTAAATTTATTAATGCTTTGATACTTGCATTGTTTATTTTATTTTATAAAATCAAAAACTAATAAAAAAATTAAATTTGTTTAATGCTTTGACACTTGCATTGTTTATTTTATTTTATAAAATAAAAACTAATAAAAAAATTAAATGTATTTAATGCTTTGACACTTGCATTTTATGTTATATTTTATAAAATCAAAAACTAATAAAAAAATATTAAATGTATTTAATGCTTCGACACATGCATTGTTTATTTTATTTTACAAAATAAAAAACTAATTAAAAATTTAAATGTTTTGACACTACTTGCAGGCATTGGATCTTTTGTTTCAATGTCATTAATACTCCTAGCAATGTGCTGAGTGGATCCAGATTTAAGGAAAAGGATTACATCCTGTATAAGATGCTTTATATAAGATATTTTAAAAATATGTACCATAATATTTAAATATATAAATTTTTTACCATACATCCAACATACAATAAAAAATTATTATTATTAATAGAATATTTATTAAAAATATAAGATATTACACTATTTAATATATTAGTACTATAATTTTTAATTAAAAATGTTCTTTATATTTTAATATGTATCATTGAATACATTAAAAAATTATTAAATATAATGTAGAAACCTATCACAAGTCATGATAGAATAAGAAACACATAAAAAAAAATATATATATATATATACACACATATATATATATAACATTGCTGTTAATCTGAGCCTAAAAGGGGTAGTAGAATAGCATATAGTAGATAGTAGGATGATTACGATTTAAAAATATATAATCATATTAATAAGTTATGTATACAAACATAAGTGTTATATTAAAAAGGAGACACCAAAATATTTTATTTTTTAGGTGAAAAAGAAAACGTTGGAGAGGAGAAACTGCTGCACAAAAACTTGGACTTTTCCCAACGAGAAGAAAGTGTGGAGAAGACGAAATCAACGTATATGTTTTATATAGGATAAATAAACTTTTTACTCTTAAAAATAATTCAAACAAAATATTTTATAAAAATTAAGATTTTTTTTCTTTCAAATCACATCATTGCAACGTGAGTGTTTCCCTGTTCTAGCTGCGAATGCCACGATTGCACCGTAATAAGTATGATATATAAATTAAGTTATTAATATTTTGGTTTTAAAACAAGGTTTAATCAACATGTTATTAAAGTGTCATGAATTATGGTTATAATAAATTTGATTTTTTTAACCTGTACAATATTGTAAAAAATAAAAAATTATATATTGTAAATTTATATTAAAAATATAATATTTAATAGTATTAGAGTATGTTTGAGAAAAAATATTTAGAAAAAAAAAAGAGAGCATATTTTTAATTTTAAAATAAAAAATTATATATTATTTATGATAATAAATATATTATTAATATATTAAATTTTTGTTAATATATTAATTTATATCTATTATTTTTTTAAAATATTAATTTTAAATATATTAATTTAAAATATAAATTTTATCATTCCTCCCATTTTCTTTCCCTCCGAAATCATCTTTCTCAAAAAACCCCTTAATGTATTAAATTATATTAAATATTATAATTTTAAATTTGGTACGTACAAGTTAAAAAAACTTATTAAATTTTAAAACATAATATTGCTTAAAAGCATTCCATATAAAAGTATAATATTTTATGCATTTTAGAGAGAGCTCCAAACAACACAGGGTTCTTAGCATGTCAGGTTAAAGATAGCATAGTTGTTAATCGAATAGCGGTTGACCCCTAAGAGGCAATGGCAGACTAGCATAAGCAGAATAACCGTTATTTAGAGATTTATAACATGCATATATAATAGTGTAAAACATTACAACATGAGTGTTATATTAAACAAAAATGCTTCGCATCATAAATCAGTGAACAGACGCTAGAAAATCTGATTTTTCCGATAAGCAGAAAAACAGAGACGCCAGAAAAGTTTATTCCTCCGGCGAAATGGAGCAGGTGAGCCTCCGAACAAGATGATTTCTCCATCAAAATGGAATGGGTGCGCCGATTAAAATGGGAGAAACCGCTACGCAGAGGCTCAGACTTTTCGCGGAGAGAGGAGCCAGTGGGGAAGATGAGTTTCTTTCTTTTCCCCAAATGACCTTTCTACCTTTAAAAAATAATACAAACGATACATTTTATTAAAAATTAGAATAGGGTTTCTTTTTTCCCCCAAATCACGCGATCGCAACGCAAACGTCTCCCTATTTTGGCCGCTAACACCCGCACCAGCCGCGACATACCAAACACCCCGCGGGGGCGGCAGTGGCAGCTAGCGACTGCGCCGCAGATAACACCACTATAGCGTGCTATTAACAAGTATGAATGATAGACGCTAGGTTATAGGACGTCCCCCAACAAAAGAATGATGACAAGATAAAATCATTTAAGTCTTAAAGAGTTTATACAAGATTACACGAGTTATCCCAAGCCAATCCAAGTTTTTTAAAAAAAGTTTGATGGCAATTTAACTTTTCTTTTAACTATAATCATAAAATAGTAAGGATTTAAGAACTAACACTAGAATTTATGAACCTTACTTTTAGCTTTTAAGTAATTTAAATTACTTACATTTAATTGTCATTGTTTACTAATTATTCAAATTAAAATTTTCATTTAAAAAGTTATTCAATGATTAATAAAAATATTAAAAAAATATAACATATCACTAATTTGCATAAACTTAATATATATATATATATATATAAATTTTATAATATTTTATGTATTTTTTATATTTTTATTAATTATAAAAAATGATAATATATTACATTTTTATTTAACAATGAGTGAGATTTTAATCTGACAAATTAAATTTGAATAGTTAATTAAATAAATATATATATATATATAATTAAAATTAAGAAACTAAAAGTATATTCAAAGTAAAGTGTGAGAACTAAATCAAAAAAAACAAAATTAAATAGAGAATAGTATTAGATATATGAGAACCGTTGTTTAAAAAAAAAAAAAAAAACTTACGCCCAAATAAAGCGACCAATACAGCTAGAAATATCCCTAATTTGCAATATCTATTCAAACAAAGTATAATGGTTAAATTCAAATAGACACTCCCTTCGGATTCCCTTTCCTCATAATTAACAACTTAAAACGTGGAAACAGATAAATCTGCATATACACTAGTTTGGCTTATCTATATTATAATTTCGAAGCAGAACAAATCACAAAGCATCACTGTACACTACGCTTTATTATACAACAGTGCTTATGACTTCATGAGCAAAGAGAAACGTACCTCCTGCTGATACCGATGTGGCCAACGTAGCCTAGCTTTTTCGTCGGGAATTGGATCTCCCACGAATCTAGAGTTAGGCCCTCCATCTTCGTCAGGTGTCAAAGGAGAAGCATCCACAAAGCTAATTTGCTCGTCTTTTACAGCAGAGGAAGTTGCTAAGACTTCTTCAACGACGGGACTCCTCGAATCTACCGTTCTCCTGGACTTGTTCGGAGCTGAATCACCGGAAGCGACGGAAGAAGACCTGGTTCTGCGCTTGCTCGACATGGTGGAGGAGGAGAAGGAGGTTAACTGAGTGAGCAAGAGAAGAAGGTTAACTGAGTGAGCAAGAGAAGAAGGTTAATAAGATTAGGTAGAGAGAGAGAGAAAAATGAAAATGGTGGGGTAGTATTTATAATAGGCGCTGAAATTTCGAAGATAGCGGGTGCGAGCGGGAAGGCGAAATTCAAGGCTATTTTTGTGCCTTTCAACTCCACTCTTCTTTTGGTGGGAAAATTGGTGTTAGGTATGGGTTTCTTCTGTTTTTTTTCAAATGGGCTGTGCTTGTTAAATTGGGCTTAGGATTGGGTTATTTTGCTAATGATTGACAAAATATTTAGATAGATTAAAATAAATAAAAAAATCAAAAATATTTCATTTCAACCAACTTTCCTCATTTGAATGTAGTAAAGTTTTTAGTGGAGCTCATACTTGACAACAAAATTGAAGTAATTGAAGGGGAAATTTTAGCATTGCAATCTTATCTTTAAAATGGTTGATGTTGAAGATGATGCAGTGAAGAAAGATAATGGTTATGATTTTTTTTAGGGTGTGAAAAGTAACAATTCTCTATAGACTATAGTGGAGGCCAATTATGATTTCAAAGAGGGTGTTATAGTAGTATGTTGCACATGATTTAATGTTGTAGCGTGATCGTTGAAGAAGATGGTTCTATGATTTCATTGGCTTCTTGGTGGTCTGGTTACTAGTGTTGGATTCTAGGATGGCATTATTTTTATATCTATTTGTCAGGTTTCAATGTGTGTTAGTTAGACCTATTTGGAGTGTTATTATTTAGTCATTGACTGTTCAAATTTTGAACATTCAAAATGTGTTATAATGAAAATCATCTATCCATATCTTACATTATTCATTTTTTTCCAATAACATTATGTGTTTCTTTTTTTATTGTTACTAAATAGTCTGCGCATAAAACATTGATAAATAGAAATAAAATAATATAAAGTTTAGTTGTTAATAGAAAGAAAAAAAAAATTAAGAAGAAAGAAGTCCAGCTTAAGAGCCAGCTTGAATTGACTTTAGTGTAATGATAGAAGTTGGCTTGAATTAACTTTAGAATGTTTTATCATTTGACTTTAATTAACTTTTGCATGCCTATGTATCTATTACCATGGCTAATATAAAAGGAAGAAAAAGCCTCTTTAAAGAATCTCTTACGAGAAAATAAGAGAAAGAAGTTTAACGTTGTTGTAATAGAAATGGATAATAATAGAAAGTTACTTAATTTTATTTATTATATTGCAAATAAATTATCAGTATAGATAAATATTTAAAAATATTATTTAATTATTGTATATTTAATTATTTGACTGTTATATATTTATCTTTTATCATAATATATTATATAACGTATATTGTATATATAACATATAATGTTTGTTACATATTTAATTAATTATTAGTTAAAAAACTGATAATGCTTTTTATATTAGAGTTTTTACTCGTTGTTGAAATAAACTAAATAATTATAATTTTAGACAAGTAAATATTTAGATTATAACTTGGTGAATTAGAATAAATTTAAATTTAAAAAATATTAAATATTTAAATTTATTTTGAGAGTTTTATCTGTTGATTTGTATTATAGTTATTTGTTTATTTATTTTAATAGACTTTATACGTTAAGATAATCTTAATTATATTATATTATTTATTAAATTTATTTTGTGAGGTAATTAATTTAAGTATAATTTGTTGTAATGTGTTTATATCTTATATTATATTGTACATAAACAAAATAGTAAGCAATATTTTGATATTTCTTTTTAGTTTTGGTGAATAATACCTGATTTACAATTTTTTTTAATCTTATAAAAAGTTCAAATTTTAAAAAGTAGAAGCTATAATATGATTGTCACTCTATATCTAAGGATAAAACCATTTATTAAACATACTAATTTTTGGCATGTCACTCATTGATGCACCTGTGGAGTGTTGGAGACCTAAATTACATACATTCTCATATTTCATACAGATAATGTACAACGTCTAGTATGCCTAATAAATGGTTTTATAAATCAAATAATTATTCGTTTTCTTCATCATCAAGACCCTCCTCTTCATCATCTTTATCATCCTTTTACGCCACAATAAAATTAAAATCTTTGACCAAGCTATCTTGTCTCATTTATTCTCATGGATTTCGTAATAATGACTTTTTAATTTGTTTAACAACATGTTCAAAACTTGAAAAACCTACCTCATTGTGTGAATTGTACATGTCATGATAAAACATCTCAACTAATGGGCTTAGATTTGATAAAGAACGTTATGGATCTGGATCTAAACCTCTAGAAATAAAATGATCACATTGTAGTTTAACAAAAAGCTCTATTATACAAACTTCGACAAACGAGTTAAAATAATTAAACATGTGATCAGTATGCTTATCTTTTTAAATTTGCCACCTTTTATATTGAATATCATTTGGCCTTATTTCCCTATACTTCTCCAAGGCTTCAATATTCGGTTCTCCAAATGTAGCAATTCACCACAAAATGTCTCTCCCTCTATTATCCTTACAATCTCACCACTATAATATATAAGTACATTAATGTTATTTTCTGTCATTTCACTATAATTTTCACACTCAACCTCATAAGTTATTGAACAGAATCATGCAAAGTCAAAAAATTGTGTATGTCTATTTATAGCAAACGCAACTTAATTTATATTGAAATCTATTTTAATCAACTTATATTTTAAACATAAATTTATTTAAATCGACTTCAGTGATATGAAACAGTTCTATGAAAGTCGATTTAAACTGACTTCTAAGTTAAAAAAAAATAACAAAAGTTGATTATAGTTGATTTCAGTATAAAGAAAAATTAGACAGCAAAAAAAATTGATTTATTTATAAACAATAATTATTAAATAAGAAAAAATCGATTTGAATTGACTTCTGTTTCATTTAGATGTAAAGTCAACTTCTATTATCATAATTTCAAGACATAGTCATTTAAATTAATTTATTTACATAAAAAGCTCCCATTTTACAACTACTAAAGAACAAATCAATGAAGATTCATTAGAACTCCAATATCATACGTAAGATTAGACATTTGTGCTAAAAAAAAATCATCACTACAAAAAAATTACTCATTCGTGACAGTTAAATTTATCAGTTAATGGCAGTTTTATTTGTCTCTAACTTTTTATCGTCAATTTATAAAATCAACGTTAAATTTGGTGACACAACTAAATTTGTGGTGTTTTTGAGTTGCTAAATTTTGAAATTCAAATTCTATATTGAGTAGCTAAATTTTACAATTTACAAAAGTTATTTAGTGGCGATTTTAAACTGCAGTTAAATTTTAAAATTCAAATACCAGTCTAAGCAGCAAGGAACACTATCCTATTTAAATTTTGACTTCCACACATTTCTCCCATTATTTTGCATTTTTTACTTATTTCTTTATTTATTTGGGTTCCCATTCCATTCATTTTTCAACATTACAACATATATATTAGATAATTGATAGTGTGAATAGTTGAAAGAGAGCCATTTAGAGGAAGTGAAAAGGATAATAAAGGATTATTGGAAACTTGTTGTCATGGTAAGAGAAGACAATTTGACATTGACAGTGACAATGCTAATGCTAAATTTCACTTTTTTTTGTGACAGTTACAAAAAATCGACAATAAATTCATTATTTTTAGTGATAGTTACACAAAATTGATGCTAAATCTTCAATTTCTTGTAACAGTTACAGAAAATCAATGCTAAATTCCTTATTTTTGTGTGACGATTACACAAACTCATATACAAGTGACAGATGCATGCTAAAATTTAGTTTGACAGATGCATGCATGAATCAATAGCTACATTTTGGGTATTAAAAGAGTTAATGATAAAAAGTGAATGAACGTTATAAACTCAAACAAAATAAAAATTTGTTCCCGTTTCATATTATCTCTGGGCAAATAATTAACTTTTTGCCTTTAGATGATATTGAATTTTGTAATAATTTTTTTAAAAAGATAAACGTCTATTTCTATAGACAAGGACATATGTTTGACAAATTTATCAAAAAGATAAACATCTTTTTATTAATAAAATAATATTTTGAAATAAAAAGTAGACTTAATGTTACTATTAACATAAAAATAAAAACAATATAACATTAACAATACTTTAAAAAAAATCACCACAAATAATAAAGTTAAGGACACATGTTCTTGAAAATTTACAATAACAATCGATAGAGTTATTAACATAAAATAATGGTAATATTATTATAGCAATTTACAATAAATACATAAAAAATAATTACATTTTAAAGAATTTTGCTGTATTTTTTTAATTAGCAAATAAAATCTATACACTTTTACTATATTTAATATTCATAGTTTTTTTAACTTATCTTTTTAAGTTTTTATAATATTATTAATAAATTTGTCAAGATTTATCACACATAATTAAAAATATTAAGCTTAAGCATGATTTATTTATTTATTTTTATTTTAACCATGTATAAGAATAAAATATTAAGTTAAAAATTGGTTGGGTATGGTCCAATTTAGACTAAAATCACCAAATCCATAAGCAACCAGTTTTGTGTCTTTTAGCCCACTTCTATTTAAATTTCATCTCGTGTTCTTCAAGTGGTGGTTTTTTGGGTATGCAAATCTTTGAACAGGTTAAAATGAGTTATGCTCTGTTCAATGTTCATCACTGTCAAGTTTATTGTTCATCGTCACAAAAGCTACTGCAAACAGCTTTCTACCACCATTTATGCCGTCACGACACTCCAAAAATTCAAAACTCACTAGATATGCATCATTATCTCACAACTGCTGTTTGAACTACCATTAGAGTCTCCATGCAAAGTTGCAAGCAAACATGTAAATGCACGTTTCAAAAACATCATGCTATTGTATAGCCATAACAAACAAAGTGGAGAAAATGCTTCCAATTTCAACAGTGAAGTATATTAAGTATTTATTCCTTTTAATGAATATCTTAACATATAAATAGGAATATATACAATGTGTACTAGATAAGACACTACTCAGTCTTTCTTGTAAAAAGAAAATCTGAATATCTTTTTGGCCTAAATGAGACGATTACCCTTTTAATCAGGTTAATAACGAATTAAAGAATAATTAAGTTATTTTAGATAAATTATAAAAAATATTACCAGCTTAATTAAAAAGCTGAATGAAAACAGGATTGACTCACAAAGTCTATTAGCACATAATAATGTCTATAAAAGGAAAGTAGAAGGTACAAGTAAATGATTGACTTTTGAATATTAAATAATATTTATTGTCTAAACCGATATTTGACTTTATCATCGGAATGCTTTTTATAGGTATACAACCCTACGTCAGACGATGTCAGCTGTATAAGAAAATATGTTATTTTATCTCAATAAAGACGAGTTATTCCCTAGCAGGAATATAATGATTTAATTTAAAACTCCTTCAATTTATGATAAAGTATCGTAAATATTATCATAACATTATTATCTGATTATTTTTTATTGGTAGAATGCTTTTATTAATTGTGATTTATAGACAATCTCTTTGATAATATTTTATTTGTACTGATATAATATATTTTTTCTTTAAAATTTCATTCTTGATAATATAAAAATTGATATAAATTCTTTATTAGTTTTTATATAATATATTATTTTTTATATTGTTGTAATATTTTATCATGAATTATTAGGTTTTCTAATATAATTATTTATTATTTATAATTAGTATTATGTTAATACTAATATCCTGTTACTTCAATTTTTAAGTTAAAGCATTATAATTTTATATTATTAAATGTTTAAACACACTTTCATCGATACCGTCACTAGTTACTAATAAGAGGCAGTGCATCTTTTAGTTATGGAAATGACTTTTTTATTATTTTCCTAAATATATATAATATATTTTTTAATATTCCTTTTTATTAAAAATTATAAGAATTAATATTATTAATATATTAAATTCAATAACATCATGCTTGATATAAATTTATTATTACATGTCTTTTGATATATATTAAAAAAATTAAAATATTATTAAATAATAATTTTTTATGATCAAAATTAAATTGTATTAAAAAAATATTAGAGTTATTTTATTTAATAATTTTTTAATAATTATTATACTTTATTAACTATTTACTATAATTTAACATATGCTCTTAAATTTAAATTCAATAAATGTAATTATACTAAATATTAAAAAAAATATTGTCATTTCAAACTCTCGCGTAAAATATATTATGAAATAAAAAATATTGATATGTAATGTATATTTTTAAATAAGTAACAAAAAAACTCATAACTAAATTGTTAATTTATAGAATAATTTTATTTTAACATCTAATGTATATTTTTAAAAGAAGATAAACGTTTATTTCTGACATAAGTTTGAGAAATTTATCAAAAAGATAAACATTTGTTTATTAATAAAATAATATTTAGAAATAAAAAAAAATCATCGTCTACTTTGTTCAAACTCTCGCGTAAAATATATTTGAAATAAAAAAAATATTTATAGTTTAGATAAAAAATTGAATTAAGATATAAAAATTCACAACTAAATTGTTAATTTATCGAATAATTTTATTTTAATATCTACTGTATATTTTTAAAATATAGATAAATATTTAAAATATTTATATTTAAAAACATTTGATTCATATAAAATTTAATAATCCCCGCTGAAAATAAATATCTAATATCATGAAAGGGTTGAGTCGTCTTCTAATGGTCTATGTCTTTATAAATACGTTAAGCAAATTACTAAAAAACCACAAATAAAGAGGAATAAAGGAAAATTTTTGAACTAAGTTTCTTTGTTTCAATTTTTGGGAGGTTCTTCACAGAGCCAACGCCAGAGTGTTCCGAAAACCGGAACCCTAAACAGAGAGAGCATGGGAACCCCAGAGACGTCACGAGAACCATGCCCTGATCGGATTCTCGACGACATAGGAGGCGCGTTCGGTATGGGTGCGGTCGGTGGTTCCGCCTTTCACTTCCTCAAAGGTCTCTACAACACCCCCAAAGGTGATCGTCTCATCGGCGCTTCCCAAGCCGTTCGTCTCAACGCCCCTCGAGTTGGCGGAAGCTTCGCCGTATGGGGCGGTCTCTTCTCCGCCTTTGACTGCACCATGGTCTATGTTCGCCAGAAAGAGGATCCATGGAACTCCATCGTCGCCGGCGCCGCCACCGGCGGTTTCCTCTCCATGCGCCAGGGCTTAGCCGCCTCCGCTCGCTCCGCCGCTTTCGGCGGCGTCATTCTTGCTCTAATCGAAGGCGCCGGCATCATGCTCAACAAGTTCCTCAGCGCGAATCAGCCTATGCCGATCATCATGGAGGAGCCGCCGCCGTCGACGACGACGACAGATTCTGCTTCGGCGGGGCCGTCGTGGCTCGGAGGGTTGTTCGGCGGAGGGAAGAAAGAGGGGGGAAGTACTATCGGGGAAAGCCAGACGAAGATTCTAGAAAGTTTCGATGCGCCTCCTGTTCCCAATTTTGAGTATAAGTAAGCGAGGTTGGTTTTAGGGTTAGGGAATTTTGTGGCGGAATGAAGAATTATTGAATTTGTTGATGAATTGAACCTCACTACTTGATGATTGTCTATCGTATCATAAATTTGTTTCCTGTTTCCTAAATTTTTTTGTTCACTATAATGTATAATTTAAGTATAGCGGTAGACTCGACTTAATTATACGGTTTTTTGTCACAATAATGTGTAATTAGTGTTAGTGTAATCGTGAAAGTTTAAGATGTTCCCTTTCACTTGAAACAGAAGTTATGTTCATTCGATTCGATTTCTGTGAATGTGTTGTGTCTTCACTGTTTACACCTTGACAACATTGAGTTTCATTTCACTTCACTAATCACTGGATCATTGATTGAGAAAATTGGTGTAAATTATGAGTTTAGTATTGACTGGCATCCGATCAAATGTTTTTTATTTAGGTTTTAAAGCAAAACGTGAAGGAACTGAGTATCCTTGTATAGGATGAAAATAATGCTTTGCTGATTTTAAATATTGATCATCAAGCCCACATTGATCATATATTCTTTTACTTTCCTTAGACTTGGCTCAATTTAGAGGATTCAAATTTCTTTCATAAGTAGACTCTGGTTTCGTGCCGGCATAATTTTCCGGCTACAATGGTCAATGGGGTTCTGATGAATCCACAATCGTTAGCTTGGAACAATGGCCCACGGGCTCGATTACTGTTGTGACTGGTGGCCTACAAGCTGTGTTTAATTTGGTTTGGAGTAAACACTCAATTTAGTTCTTGAAAATAATTACTGATTTTAATTAGGTCTTCGAAAAAATAAATGCAAAATAGTTTACAAGATGTAAGGGGTCATTTTTTTCTTTTCTAAATACATCTTAAAACTGTAAAATGCACGCCATTTTAATTCTCGGCAAAAGCTATTGTTGACCCACTCTCTAGAAATGTTAAATAGATGAAAGAACATTAGTTTCACGTTTGTAATTTTGAAAGATTATTTGGTAACTAGTTTTTTAGAGATTAAGTTGGGTTAAATGACTTTTTTCTTTTCTTTTCAGAAATTAAATTCAGTATTACTCTTCATTTTAGAGTCATTAGCAGCATTGTAGTAGTACCCATTTAGGATATATTCTTAAAAAAATTATCGAGTATTCTCAAAAGGTAAAAGTCACCCCTGAATTTTGAGGCTCCAATAAATTTTTTAAACAAGAGGCAAAATGAGAGAGTACTGTGGTAACGATGGGCAGGACTAGATTTGGTTAAAAAACAGAGAACTAAACTGTCTTTTTCCCCCCTTTTCTTTTTAACAGAGGCACAACCAGTTCACAAACCGCACAGGATTTTGAAACACCCAGTTGTCCCAATACCCGGTTTTAAATTCCATTAAGAAAACACCCCCTCTCACCTCCTCAAGAAACCGTTCCTTTGTAAATTCTCACTTTCATCTTGATAGATATTGTTCAGATTCTTCAGAAAGTAGAACTTAGTAGATAGATAGAAGGAAGGGAATATCCTCTTCCTAGTTGTGCAGATAGATAATTGCTTTGTTTTTTGAAACTTACCCAACATAATTCTCTCAACAAGTCAATTTTGACTTCTTTGTACATCTGTAGCAACCCCTTACATGAAGTTAAAATGTACAATTTGATGAATTTATGAACTCAAAAAAATTAAAAAACATTGCATACATTATTTATAATAGGAGTTGTTTCTTGAATTTTAGCCTTGAATTAATCATTGAGAACGCTTTATTTTATTGTATTGTTTTCAAAGAATTACAACTACACGTAATCAATTGTTTCACAGTTTGTAAGATAAAAAAATAATATACAAATAACATACATTTCACAAATTTTTAGTAAATAAGTTGGTACTTGTTTATTTTAAATTTAGTAAAATTAATTTAAATTATTGAACATGATCGAGACAAGTATTTAAAATATTTTTAGTCAGAAATTTTACATTAAAATGTAGTATGTGATATTGACTTTTATGTTTGATTTTTTTTAGATCACGGGTATAAAATTCACATTATTAATACATAAAAGAACACACAATTTCGCAAAACATTTTTTTTATTTGTATGAATTTCACATTATTTTAAGCGTGTTTTGTACTACCAAAACAAAAAAGAAAGAAAAAGCATAACTATTTTATTAATAAGTATGAAAAATTTGTTGATGTACTACTTTTTTCCTCTTCAACTTTTACTTAAAAATTTAACTGAAATAAAGAAGAAAATGGAGAGAATTTGAATTCATTTTATATTAGACTAGATTGTTGTTTTACATTTAAGTAGACCTGATCCAGTATTATGGGATAATATATTAGTTTTGAAAAATATTAATTAAACACTTAATTAAACTAATTATTTAAACGCACTTATATCTCAAAAGTTAATATTCTTTTCTTTTCATGATTTTCCAATTGTTACTTTTTATGTCCACTCATAAAGTTAAATAGGATGCAAAACAGGTTAACCTACCCTATTTTGCTAATTGCTATGTCCTGAAATTAATTAAAGATAAAAAAAAATGGTTCAACCTATCACGTTTTTCAGATGAGTTGAAAAATCAAATCAGGGTTCGAAATCTGAACCTGCATCGTCAAATTTTGTAAATTATGTTAGTCAATCCAATGAATTAAACTCGTATTATCAGCCTAAAGTTAAATATGCTTAAACTAATAAATTTTTTTAATAAATAATAATGTACTTTAAATATACGTTGTATCTAAGCTATCATAGTAGATAAAGTCTGAAGGGCTGCGTTTGGTGCGCATGATAAAATAAAAAATATATATCATAAATTCAACTACTTAAGTTGTACACTTCAGATGCATAGACTCCTCTGTTTCAAAGTTAAAAAAAATACACATTTTAATAATATTTAATAACTTAAAATTATTTTACTCAAAATCAATTTTATTTGACTTTAAACTAAAAGATACACAGGTGAACTCCTTTATTCTCAATGGTACAATAATTGAAAATCATTTTGTATTGTTCACATTAGATTTCTAATTGAAAATTATTATTATTTTATAAATGGAAAGTATTAAATCTAAGTGGAAGAAAATGCATTGAATGGAAGAAGGTGCGAATCACTCTCTGTCTGTCGGGGACTGACAATCAGAAGCAGAGACCTTATCCTTGATTGAGTGCGTGACTTGAAGCTGCAAAAGTCTTCGCCATGAATGGATTGACTCATTATTATTTTAATTCTTTATGATTTTAATTGTCTATTTTTATTGTATAATTGATATTAATATCTTATATGATATTTTATATTCAAATAATAATAAAATCATTGATTTCTTAAAGTATGGTAAAATATACACGATATTATAAATTTTTTTTTTTATTAAAGATCTTGTGATATATCACAAGATTCAATATTTTTTATTAATTTTTTATGGTTAAATTGAAATATTTAAAAACGATAATTTTTTATTTAAAAAACACATTTATTACATTAAATTTATAAAGTTTGGGGTTAACAACCCAATAAATGTAAACTTGGGTGCCCAATTGAAGATTCAGTGCTGATTCTGAAAAAAAGATGCATTTTCCACAAGTCAATGCAGTGGGCACTACATCATTGTCCTCTATGGTGGAATGTTATACTTTCAACAAATGCGTGCTTTTAGGGTAAGACTAAGTTAAAAGACTAAGAGAAAAAGTACTAACACGACACTCAACAGTTCATAATAAATAGACCAATGTTTTGTTTCTTTTAATATTCTCATGAAAGAAGTGGTTACAAAAGAAAAAATATAATTACATTAAATTTTTTAATTTTTATGTGTTTCTATTACTTGAAATGCTCGAGGAACAGATCAAAGAATAAAATTTAATATGAGAGGAGAGCAATCTTTTTGGATCTTTTTTTTATCCTTATTTGTAATTTTTTTACTTATAGTTAAAAACATATTTTTATGTAAGGAAATCAGTAAGGCATGATTTTTTACCTAATAAAATATTATTATTCACTTTTTTATTTATATTATTCATAAACTTTTCTTAAATTTAATGGTTAATATTAACAAAAGTGAATTTAAAATCACCCATACATGAAACTTAAATTGTTACTAATTTTATTTAACATTGGTGAGTGCTAGGCTGCTAGCATAGTGTGATATGTGTATTTTTATATTCATTTCTTAGCTGAGAAATATGGAAGCAAACACATATTGAAACATTAGAAACTTCAAACAAGGTGGAATAATAATGGGTCCCCAAGATTCAATTATTGAAAGAATATATATAATTTTTTTTTTGTGAAATAATATTATTCTAATTATGTTTCAGTTGACCAAAAGTTCTATACAGAGATGTTTCAATTGGTTTGAGTCACAATCTTTTTTTCTCGGAACCATGTGCTTGACTTGTTGACCCATCTACAGTTGCCCCATAAAACATGTAAGGGATTACGAAAAGATAGTGTAATTAATCAACTATCAAATTAATTTAATGTTATTAATTATTAAATTTTGGTATTATATTATAATTAAATAGAAAAAAATCATATGTTAATAATTCTTGGAGATAAGTTGTGTAGTAATAATAATAATATAGTGTATATTGAGTTAAAAGTTAGTAATAACATTTAAAATGAAAAAGATAAATAATAAAAATAATATAGACTTTTAATGTCATGACATTAAGAATAATTTAACCGTCAAGACGAATTAAAACTTAGTTTTTTTATTTTTACTTTATTTATCTAACTTGCATGTGTGTGTGTGTATATATATATAATTTATGTTAAAATTTCATTAAAATATTGAGACTAACATAATAAATTGAATCAGATAATTGTTAAATTTAATTGTGAAAATTTGTATCGTAATACACAAATAAGATTAAAAAATTATTTGAATTAATTTAATATTTTGGCATTACTTCTTACAAAATATAAACAAATGTTAGTTTGATTATTGAATTAATAATTAGAAATATAAATTTTAAACTAGTCTGTGCAGCACATGAGAAAATAAATCACAAACTATCAATATAAAAGTGATTATTTTAACTGTTAATAGTTAGGTATTGTTAGTTTTGATTTTTTAAAAGTGAATTAATAGTTTTTAATTAAAAGATTTTTTTAAAATATAATCAGACCAAAAAATTAAAAATAATTTTCGTGTTAGACAAGACAGAACCCTTTGAAATAAATATCCTTATCATAAGTTTTTTCTTTCAAAATTTTACTACATACATCATAAATTAATTTGATAATCGATTAATTTCTATCAGATATAAAGTTTGGTCAACGTCAAACTTCAAGTAAAATACAATGAATAATCTATTAGTCTGCAATTATTTCAATTATTTTAAAACCACAAATGATCTTATCAATTAAATATGTCTCATTATATGATTTTCTTTTTGAAAATGACATTAAATAGTATTGTCACAATCATAAGCTTATATTGAGTGTCCAAGTTTCAAACCATGTAAAATATTCTCAAGCAGCCAAGACTACCAAGTCTTCTTCCTCTTCCTTTGCAAATCAACTCCATTTCAATTCACACACACTCAAAACCAGAAAATCACACGCACCCCACATGAAAATATTAGCCACATCCCATGTTAAAATGTTATTTTACTATTTTCTAACCATTTTCTTAATCTTGAGCCATGCGCACTCTGAGACTCTGTTGCATGATCAAGAACATGCAATCCTAATGAAGATAAAGTTGCACCTACAAAACCCACTATTCTTGAGTCATTGGACTTCATCAGACACTTCTCATTGCTCTTGGTCAGAAATCACATGCACCAATGACTCTATCACTGGATTGACTTTGGTCAACAGCACCATCACTCAAACAATGCCATCTTTTCTATGTGACCTCAAAAATCTCACACAAGTTGATTTCAGAAACAATTCCATTCCAGGGGAGTTCCCAACATTTCTCTACAAATGTTCCAAGTTGGTGTACCTTGACCTCTCAATGAACAACTTTGGTGGTAACATACCTCATGACATAGACAAATTGGTTAACTTGCAGTACCTTAATCTTGGTTCCACCAACTTGTATGGTGACATTCCTGCAAGCATTGGAGGGTTAAAGGAGCTGAGATTGCTTCAACTTCAGTATTGTCTATTCAATGGTACTTTTCCTGCTGAGAACATTAGCAACTTGGTCAATCTTGAATTCTTGGACATGTCTTCTAACTTAGTGCTCCCTCCTTCTAAGTTCCCTTCAAGTTTGACCAAGTTGAAAAAATTGAAGTTCTTTCACATGTATAGTTCTAACTTCTTTGGGAACATCCCTGAAACCATTGGAGAAATGGTGGCTTTGGAGAGCTTGGATTTATCACGAAGCAACTTAACTGGACACATTCCCAAAGGTTTGTTCTTGTTGAAGAATTTGAGCCAAGTGTATCTTTTCAGGAACAAACTTTCTGGTGAGATACCTGATGTGGTTGAAGCCCTGAATTTGATTGAACTTGATCTAGCAGAAAACAATCTTACTGGGAAAATACCTGAAGATTTTGGGAAGCTCCAAAAGTTAACATGGTTGAGTTTGTCTCTCAATAACTTGTCAGGGGAGATACCACAAAGCTTAGGCCATCTTCCATCTTTGGCACATTTTCATGTCATTTTCAACAACTTGTCAGGTACTATTCCTCCTGAATTTGGTCGCTACTCAAAGCTTGAAACATTTATGGTTTCATCTAATAGTTTTAGTGGAAAGTTACCGGAGAACTTATGCTACCATGGTCAGTTACTTAATTTATCTACTTATAATAATCATCTGAGTGGAGAGTTGCCAGAATCACTTGGGAATTGTAGTAGCCTGATAGATTTGAAAATTTTTAGTAACGAGTTTTCGGGTAGTATTCCTAGTGGTCTTTGGACTTTCAAGATGTCAAATTTCATGGTAAGAGATAATAAGTTCACTGGTGAGCTTCCTGAGAGATTGTCCTCAAGTATTTCACGCTTTGAGATAAGTTACAATCAGTTTTATGGCAGGATTCCAAGAGGGGTATCTTCATGGACTAATGTGGTAGTGTTTAATGCTAGTAAGAACTACTTCAATGGAAGTATTCCAAAAGAGTTAACAGCTCTTCCCAAGCTAACAACTCTATTGCTTGATCAGAACCAGCTCACAGGGCCACTTCCATCAGATATAATATCATGGAAGTCCCTGGAAAATCTAAATCTGAGTCATAACCAAATCTCTGGACAAATCCCAGATTCAATTGCTCTATTACCTGTCCTTAGCCAACTTGACTTGTCAAAAAATCAATTCTCTGGCCAGGTTCCTTCTATACTTCCTAGACTCACCAATCTAAATTTATCCTCTAACCATTTGTCAGGGAAAATTCCAAGTGAATTTGAGAATCCTGTGTTTTCCACCAGCTTTTTGGATAATTCTGGCCTCTGTGCTGATACCTCAGCATTCAACATTACGTTGTGCAATGTTGGCTTTGAAAGGCCAACCAAAGGTTCATCTTGGTCTCTTGCTTTGATTATAAGCCTGGTGGTAGTAACCTTCTTACTAGCCTTATTGATATCACTCTTGATTATCAAACTTTACAGAAAAGGGAAGACAAGATTGGATAACTCATGGAAGCTTATTTCATTTCAAAGGGTGAGTTTCAATGAATCAAACATAGTATCATCAATGACAGAAAATAATGTTATTGGCAGTGGTGGATTTGGTACAGTATATCGTGTTACCGTTGATGGTTTAGGCTATGTTGCTGTGAAAAAGATCTCCAATAACAGAAAGTTAGACCAAAAGCTAGAGAGCTCATTTCGTGCAGAAGTGAAAATATTGAGCAACATTCGGCATAAGAACATTGTGAAATTGATATGCTGTATATTTAATGAGGATTCTATGCTTCTTGTCTATGAGTATTTGGAAAACTGTAGCCTGGATAGGTGGTTGCACAAAAAGGGGAAGCCATCATCTGTGTCAGGTTCAGTCCATCATTTTGTGCTTGAGTGGCCAAAGAGATTGCAAATAGCCATTGGGATAGCCCAAGGTTTGTGCTACATGCACTACGATTGCTCACCACCAATTGTTCATCGAGATATAAAAACAAGCAACATCCTTTTGGATTCTCAATTTAATGCAAAAGTTGCTGATTTTGGTCTGGCTAGGATGTTAATCAAGCCAGGGGAACTTGCCACCATGTCATCTGTGATTGGCTCATTTGGCTACATGGCTCCAGGTAAATGACATGCCATTCCTTCGTTTCTATTTATCTGTCCAAAGCGAAGAAAAAAATTGTTTTTATTCATCTATCTATGTTGAAGTTCAAGACAATATTAATCATCATTTTTTCACTAACACCCTTTTACCTATATAGAAATTTTGAACACAATAAATAAAGCATTTATATTGGTTGATTAATCCAGAGGTTAAACTAACAAAGGGTAAATTAAAAAGTTCATCAAATAATTCTAACAAAATGATTGAATACCATAGTCTTTATAATTTCATTTTTTTCTCAAGACAGATAAATAGGAACTCATATAATACGTTCCTTAGATACAAAAATTCTTTGTATCCCTTTTTATATTGACATACGTTTTATCTGAACGTGTTTCTTCCATACTTAAATTGCAGAATATGTTCAAACAAAGAGAGTAAGTGAAAAGATTGATGTCTTTAGCTTTGGCGTTGTACTATTGGAATTGACAACTGGCAAAGAGGCTAATTATGGTGATGAGCACTCATCTCTTGCAGAGTGGGCGTGGCGTCACCACCAGTTAGGAAGCAATATAAAAGAGCTACTAGACAATGATTTCGTAGAACCTATGTACATAAATGAAATGTGCAGCATTTTCAAACTTGGGCTCATTTGTACTTCAACTCTTGCTGCTAATAGGCCTTCCATGAAGGAGGTCTTACACATATTGCTCAACTGTGGAGAAGGATTTGTGTTTGGAAAGGAAAATGTTAGGGAATATGATGGTATCCCCCTTCTTAAGAATTCAAAATGGGAGAGAAAGTTGCATGTTGTTGATAATGATAGTGACTAATGAACTTTATATTAGAAGTAATTAGTCTTTTTTTCTTATAGATTACATATATCTATTAGATAAAACAATTTTGTTTGAGCTGAGTTGAACTTGATTTAGGATTGTAAGTCACTATGAATGAATTTGATTTTGGCGATACTTGTCTCTTCCTTGTCTTATTATTATTATTATTATTTTTTAATCTATAGAGTTGCATTCACTTGAGTGCAAGTACAAAAACTGGTGGGAAAAAAATTAAAGAAAGTAGAAAAAAGTTGTCTTCCAAGTGTTTGTCGTGTTGTGAGGTGATGTTTCCTTGCAGTCAAAATTTTAAATTTAAATGCACTTTTATAAATATTTTATTTTATTCAATTAAAAAACAATTTATTAACCGATCCCGCTATTTCTTCTTTCTTTTCTCATTTCTCTCGTCTTCCCTCTGTGCATTCCAATTTTGCATACAAACTCTCCCCTCTCTCTAACCCAGAAGAAGTCAACAACATTCTCTCCCCGTGACATGCAAGGGAGTTAATATAGTTTTATATTAACAGCAGAAATGTTCACAAAATCACATCACATACCGTTAAGCAATCTATAATCTATGAATACAAGTTATGATATTGTCAATAGAACACACCATTTGTAAAGTACAAAGGAAAAAAGAAACATCAATCCAACTCAGTAAATTAAGTTCCAAAAGCCATAAATAAGGCATGAAAATAGGGTCATATAGACTCAAGCATTCAAGTCCACGTATATGCTGGAGCATCCTTGAAATACTATACGTACGACGGAGTATCTGGATTCACCTACAAAACAATTATTCAACTCAGCATGTGAATGGAATAGGCATTGCTTCAGAACCTGTGCAAAGATATCACTTCTGAAATGGACTCGCGCACACACTCACACTTGGCAGGGACTAATATTAGCTAATCATTAACACTCAAATGGTCATTCACTAACAGTGATCATACATGGATAAAAACAAGAAACAAATAATCGTCATGACTAGCAGAAATCAGTAATAGCTGAAAAACTTAAGTAGAAAAGATTAAGGCAATGCACTCGAACACCTGGCCTAGCTTCTCTTCAGTGCAATTTATATTTATGAAAATAGTTACTATTGACCATCATACATAGAAAAAAAATATAAAGTGTTTTTTATTCAACAATAACAAAGAGCTGTTTTTGCCTTAAATCATCGTGTTCAATTGATATTTGATAAAGGTTAAAGTACCTTGCACCTCTAGGCCGAATATCTCTGGTGAGTGTGAGCATATTCATCCAAAATTTAGCGACCTATAAAGACAAGTTCAACAAAAGCTGCAAAATACAAGTAAACAGTGGGGGTGCTAAAAACCAAAAAAGCAGCAATGTTTAGGGGAATACTGAAAAGCAAATGAAGTAAGAAGACTATAAAAATATACTTAAATATAAAAGGATATCCCAAAATTTCACCAGATGTTCCCAGCAACATTGCAGAAATTGGTGGCGCCAAAAAGCGAAAAATCAGAGAACAAGTAAGAGGTTACCTCATATCGAAGCATCTGAAAAAACATCTGAACATAAGAGTTAAAAGAAAAGATGTCTCTGTTTATGAGGTTCAACTCATGCCGTTCAAGAAAATATATCTCTACTGGAGTGATTTGCAAATGAATACAAACGGTTTTGCATAGTCTGGGAAAATCTTGACATGAATAAGTAGTGTCTGAAAGTATGTCTTGATTCCGAAAATTGCCCTCCTGTTCCTTTGTAAGGTGGTTAATAACAATCTCACCAGCAGCACTATTTTTCAACACATACCTATTCATATGAAGATTTTCCCAGACAAAAAGAGAAGCTTTCAACAGCTCCCATCTCCAAAGCTTTTAGAGTATCATCAAGCCCAAAAGCATACTTTCCAGTATCCTCTCTGATCTCCTCAAAGTATTTTCCAATCAATTGTTGCTCTTGGATAAGCTTCACATTGGACAGAATTTCAGCACATAGTTTGATAGCCTGGTTAAACCCATCCTCTCCTCCATAGGAAACATCAACAACATTAATAATTTAGGCTGAAGCTGAGGATCAAACATGTGCTGATTGCCCTCCTCCCCGTGTTTCTTAGGGAGATCAACACTAAATTTATGAAGCATTGAGCCTCTGCTGAGCAGCAGTGATTGCACAACAACGACGGTGAGTACTAACATCGTAAAAAACAATAGGCAATCGCAGCATCAAAAAGCAAACATAAACATATAAACATATGAACATGAAATGTTAGATGATTGAAATTGCAGGATCAGTAACTCCAATTAGCCAAGGAAGGCACCTTTTACGTGGAGAGAGACGTGAAGGTTAGGCAAGTGCTTATTAATATAAAAAGGGATTCAAGAACTATTATATTAAATATATATAATAAATAATAGAAGTCAATGATTTTTTTTTAAATATAAATGTTTTTAAATTTTTAAAATATTAAAAAATTATAATTATTAATTAGAAAAAATATAAAATATCTTTTAAGTTCATGAGTATCTAACAATTATTTTTTAAATGCATATAATTTTATAAAAATAATGATTTTATGTTATCAAATTTAAATTTAAAATTTAAATTTGGATTCAGAATTAACTTAATTTTTATTTATTTTTATAAAAAATTTTATGATTTGACCTTTTTCTAATAAAATTGTATAGTTTTACTTCCAACTATAAAATTAGGAAAAATTTAACCAATTTAAAGGTAAAATAATAATTCTCATAAAAAATAAATGCTACAATCTCATAGATAATTGATAAAATGATAATTTATTTATTTTTGAAAGATACGTGTAAATCATATATGCTCAAATAATAATAATAATAATAATAATAATCAAAATATGAGATTTTTAAATAAAAGTCTAATTGCTTTGATTTTTTATTTTTAATTTCTTTTGATACTTGATTGGGTCCATGTGCTTCACATGGCAAGCAATCCTACATGTGTTAGAGCACAACGTGTAAATGTTTTGGGCCTGTGCTCTTTGGGCTCTTCCTTCAGAGTATGGTCGATAAAAAACAATTTCAGGTCGAAATGAAATTACTCTTCATCATTTATTTTTAAATCTAAAAAATAAATGATAAGATATTAAGGAAATTAGATTAGTTCCTAAAATAGTTAAATTGTTATATATACATGTGAGAAAAGATTAATTCTTTCATTATAATAATCTTATTTGAGTTAAATAAAATTATTATGAGTAATAAAGTTATACCATAAATTAAGCTGAAATAACACATTACTGATTTCTATATGCTTAAAAATGAAAAAAATTAATTTACATAAGTTATACAAATTCATATGTTATTAATAATGTTATATAGTGTATTTTTTATTGATTCAATCATTGAATTAAAATTATAATATATGTTTTTAGATTACAAGTATTTTTTTTGTTAAAAATTATATAGAATAACTTATGCAAGTTGATCTACGGTAATAAAATTATAATATTATTTTGATTATTTATATTTCTAAAATAAAAAATATTATTTTTATATCTTTTATAAATATATTATTTAATTTTAATATACGTGAATGAAATACCAAACAATTTTAAATTAGTCTACAATTTTGTTGAGATAACTTAAATGATATTTATGTGATGATTAATTTTTAATTATTATCTAATAACCTAGTGGAATTATTTTTCTTCCTTCTCTTGTTTCTCTTCATTCATAGAATTGAGTTTCTGCAAAAATTGAAAAGTATACAAAGTAGAAAAAAAAATAAAAAATCAACGCAGTGGTCCCTCGTGATGAATCGTTATTTTGATTTTCCATATTCATCAACTCTTCAATTTCCCTTAATCATGAATAAGAGAAAATTATAGATCCAAATTATTGTTGATTTAATTATTTTATATACCGCTAATTATTAATTAAAATTCATTAAATTAAGTAAAAAGTATATATATAATTTTTATATTTTTTAATAAATTTTAACTAATAATAAAAATATGTTGGAGAATATACGGGTGACTTTTCTTTGTCACAGCAAGTTATCAGTTTAATTTAAGCCAACCTATTTTCTATCCATTATACTATTTATTTTAATAGAAATAGGTTGAAAAGTCAAAAGCTTTAGTCAAATTTTTTAAACTAGAATTGCAAAATTTGACCAATCTTTTCTTGAATAAAATTTAGTTAATACGTGAATCTATGGATAACGTATTCGTGGTGAAAATATGCTGTTATTTTTATTTTAAAAAATGTAATTTTCTCAATTCAAAAACTAAAAATATGATATTTTAATTTATTTTAGTATAGTGAATTTAAACATCATCATAAGCTGCAAGATTTTATGCAAACTTTTTATTTGATCTTTTTCAAAATTTCGAAATAAATAATGAGAGATTAATAGCAATGAAAATGACGATGGAGGATCGAGGAAAGAACGATCCTAATCTTGCAATGTTTTCTCGAACGAGAAATAGAAGACTTTCAAATTACATCATTCTATACAATCGTTACGTCCGTTGACCAGACTTTTCAAACTATTCATTCCCATTTTTTTAATGAGGAATAATTTTTTGTTTTAATTATACAAAATAAAGATGACTTGTAATGTATTATTTATCAATTTTGAATATTTTTATTTATTATAAATTTTATATTTATAAAATAATCATCTATTATTTATATAATGAATATATTTGTATACTATATAACATGAATTTATGATATATAATTACTTAATTTTTATTAATCTAATGTATTAATTATATTTTTTATATAAAAAAATTAGACGGACTAGAAGATTGAATTTATTTATACTTTTTCCATTTCCACCAACGTATTGGCGTTGACTTTCTGACCCACCAAAATTGAATAGGAAAAAGTTTGTAATTGTAAGGAAGCTAACAGTTCTAAACTTTTCTGCTTGTCAAACCAACCAACACATTGCAAAATTCCAGACAACATATGATGAAATCATCATCATCTTCTTCTCTTGCATATTAGCTTCTTTTCATTTCAATATTCACACACTACACAAACCAAGATGAAAATATCATGTCTTAATTTGATATTTTACTCTCTTGTGTTATTATTTCTTACCTTTCCACATGCAAAATCTCAGTCTCAGTTGCATGATCAAGAACATGCAGTGCTATTGAAGATAAAGCAATACCTTGAAAACCCTTCATTTCTTAGTCACTGGACACCATCAAACACCTCCTATTGTTCTTGGCCAGAGATCACTTGCACCAATGATGGCTCAATCACTGGACTCATTTTGGCCAACGTTAGCATCCCTCAAACCATACCACCTTTCATATGTGACCTTAAAAATCTCACTCATGTTGATTTCACTGGCAATTTAATTCCTGGAGAGTTCCCAACATATCTCTACAACTGTTCCAAGTTGGAGTACCTTGATCTCTCTATGAACAACTTTGTTGGTAACATTCCTAATGACATTGATCGCTTGTCAAATTTGCAGTTTCTTAGCCTTGGTTACACCAACTTCTCTGGTGACATCCCTACCAGCATTGGAGGGCTAAAGGAACTAACTTATCTTGGACTTCAATATTGTCTATTTAATGGAACTCTCCCTGGTGAGATTGGCAACTTGTCCAATCTTGAAACCTTGGACTTGTCCTCGAACAATATGTTCCCTCCTTCAAGGTTGCCAACTAACTGGACCCAGTTGACCAAATTGAAGGTTTTTTACATGTATGACTCAAACTTGGTTGGCGAGATACCTGAAAGCATTGGACAGATGGTGGCTTTGGAAAAATTGGATATATCACAAAATAATTTAACTGGGCCAATTCCTAGTAGTTTGTTCATGCTGAAGAATCTAAGCACAATGTTTCTTTCAAGAAACAAGCTTTCTGGGGAGCTACCTGGTGTTGTTGAAGCATTGGATTTGACCATCATTGATCTTTCAAGGAACAATCTTTCAGGAAAAATACCAGATGATTTTGGAAAGCTTCAAAAGTTAACAGGTTTGGCTTTGTCTATGAATAACTTTTCAGGGGAAATACCACAAAGCATAGGCCTTCTTCCATCTCTGGTAGATTTTCGTGTCTTTATCAACAATTTATCAGGTACCATTCCTCCTGATTTTGGCCTCTACTCGCAAAAGCTTGAGACCTTTATGATTTCAACTAATAGTTTAAGTGGAAACTTACCTGAAAACTTATGCTATCATGGTCACTTGCTTAATTTATCAGTCTATGAAAATAACCTGAGTGGAGAGTTGCCACAATCACTCGGGAATTGTAGTAGCCTGATAGATTTGAAAATTTATAATAACGAGTTTTCTGGTAACATTCCTAGTGGTCTTTGGACTTTCAATTTGTCAAATTTCATGGTAAGAAATAATAAGTTTACTGGTGAGCTTCCTGAGAGATTGTCCCCAAGTATTTCACGCTTTGAGATAAGTTACAATCAGTTTTCTGGTAGGATTCCAAGTGGAGTATCTTCTTGGACTAATGTGGTAGTGTTTAATGCCAGTCACAACAACCTTAATGGAAGTATTCCAAAAGAGTTAACAGCTCTTCCCAAGCTAACAACTTTGCTACTTAATCAGAATCAACTCACAGGGCCACTTCCATCAGATATAATATCATGGCAATCCTTAGTAACTCTAAATTTGAGCCAAAACCAACTCTCTGGACAAATCCCAGATTCATTTGGTCTTTTACCTGTCCTTAGCCAACTTGACTTGTCAGAAAATCAATTCTCTGGTCAAATTCCTTCAATACTTCCTAGACTCACCAATCTCAATCTATCCTCCAATCATTTGACTGGAAGGGTTCCAAGTGAATTTGAGAATTCTGTGTATTCCACTAGCTTTTTGGACAATTCTGGTCTCTGTTCTGAAACTCCATCACTGAACCTTATGTTGTGCAATTCTAGCCCTCAAGGGTCAAGCAAGGGCTCATCTTGGTCTCTGGCTTTGATTATAAGCTTGGTGGTAGTGGCTTGCTTATTGGCTTTGTTGACATCACTCTTGATTATCAGATTTTATAGAAAAAGAAAGCAAGGATTGAATGATTCATGGAAGCTTATTTCTTTTCAAAGGCTGAGTTTCACTGAATCAAACATAGTGTCATCATTGACAGAACATAACATCATTGGTAGTGGTGGATATGGCACTGTGTACCGCGTTGAAGTTGATGGCTTAGGCTATGTTGCTGTGAAGAAGATTTGGGAAAACAAGAAGTTAGATCAGAATCTTGAGAGCTCATTTCATAATGAAGTTAAAATATTAAGCAACATTCGTCATAAAAACATTGTGAAGTTAATGTGTTGTATCTCTAAAGAGGATTCTATGCTCCTTGTATACGAGTATGTGGAAAACCGTAGCCTTGATAGGTGGCTACACAAGAAGATCAAATCATCAACTGTGTCAGGTTCAGTCTCTCATGTTGCCCTTGATTGGCCAAAGAGATTGAAAATTGCCATTGGAGCTGCACAAGGTTTGAGTTACATGCATCATGATTGCTCACCACCTATTGTTCATAGAGATGTTAAAGCAAGCAACATTCTTTTGGACACTCAATTCAATGCCAGAGTTGCTGATTTTGGTCTGGCTAGGATGTTAATCAAGCCAGGGGAACTGGCCACCATGTCAGCTGTGATTGGCTCATTTGGCTATATGGCTCCAGGTGAATGACATGCCATAACTTTTGTTCCTTAATCTTGGGTACTTCTGTAGGACATATTTCCCTGTAGTTACATTTATTTATTTGATAACTTCCTCTTTATTTTTAATTTTTAAAAATTTTAATAAATAAATAAAAAAACTAAGTGGACTATAAAAAGAGAATGTACTTTAAGAGGAGTAAAGAAATTTTCCTAAACAAATATATTGTTTTCTGTGTCTGGGACAACTTATTTTGAAGAAATAATCACTTGTTTTTTATTTATTTTTAGAGATATGTTTTTAAAACATAGTGTGCTTGATTCAATTTTGTTTTAAAAAATAATCTTATTTTTACACATTTCTAGAAAGATCTTAAAAAAATGTGATTATTTTCACATAAATAATCCAGACCAAACATGCTATTAGATACAATATTTTTGTCAAATTTTCCATTGGCATAGCTTGAGTTTAATGTAAATGATTTTTGGCATACTTGAATTGCAGAATATGTTCAAACAACTAGAGTGAGTGAAAAGTTTGATGTGTTTAGCTTTGGTGTTATCCTATTGGAATTGACAACTGGTAAAGAAGCTAATTATGGTGATGAGCACTCATCTCTTGCTGAATGGGCATGGCGCCACCACCAATTAGGAAGCAATATAGAAGAGTTATTAGACATTGATGTAAAGGAATCCAGTTACTTGAATGGTATGTGTAAGGTTTTCCAACTTGGGATCATGTGTACTTCAACACTTGCTGTTACTAGACCTTCTATGAAAGAGGTTTTGCAAGTATTGCTCTCTTTGGATGAATCTATGTCTTATGGAGAGAGGAATAATGTTGGCCACAATGATGATGTTCCACTTCTTAGAAATTCAAAGAGAGAGTACAAGTTGGATATTGATAATGACAGCTAGGTACAAGGTTTCCCTTTCAATGTTGATGTTGGATATTGTTGAATAGTGACTAACAAAATGGGCTACCATGTAAAGATTATTGCCAATTTTGGAATTTAACTCAATGAAACATAGTCGCCGGATTTTAGATTGAGTATTGTATAGTACTATAGAACCTCATTAAAAATAACATAAAATAGAAGTCCTTCTTTTTGGTAATCGATATTAATCCCCATGGATGATAATGATAAGAGTGTGCTTGAGAGTGACAAAAATGAGCATATTTGTTTATTTTTAATTCAAAAGATATAATACTTATAAAAATATGTAAAATATTGAGCTATTAAATATATGTAAACTTATGATTTTATTTTAAAAATTATAAAATTAAAGAATATTTATTCAAAAAAATTTACTTTCTCTTTCTTTTCTCTAAAACACTAAACTCTCAAATATATCTTTACCGAATCTCTCAAGCACTTAGTAACTTGCAGATGTTTTGTTCATAGTCCTTTTTTCATTTTTTACTTCTACACTCTTAAAGGAATATTATTGTAATCTTAATAAATTATAAATTAAATTTATTTTTAAAATTTTTTCATATCTAATAAAGTAGAATATTTCTTATTAATAATAAAACTATTTATTATTTTAAATTTTTATATAAAAATTATTTAAATTTAGAAATATCCATGAAATGCATAGAAAATTTGCTATTAGTTTACATTTCTTGATTTGCTTATTATCTTTTAGAATGAACATATAAAAAGAATACTTCAATCCTAATTAGAATTCAAATAGTCAAAAGCATCATGTGAATGGTCAAAAGTGGATGCTTGGAAGGTTCTGCGATGTTCACATTATCTGTGGGCTTATAGCCTTATTATTGACTGTATAAAGTATTTGTAGTGCTAATGAAAAGGTAATAAAAAGAACAGCAATTTGATGTGATATGGTTCCATAGTATCACAGAATACGACAATTCATCATGGGCATGTGGTCACAAAACTTAGGGTGTCTCTTTTGGTCAGCATTCACACGTGAATCGAGGTCAAAGTTTTGTGCTGGTGGATGCAAACTAATCTAAATAATTGAATTGGTTCCCACTTGATTACTCTAAGTTCATTTCTAATAATAATTAAAAAAAGGAGAATTAAGAATAAAACTAAGAAGCAAGCGACTCCAACTTCAGAGTAAAGAAAGTATCTCAAAGTTGGAAACCATAGCGTGAAAGCTAAGAGATATAATTTTGGTTAAATAAAAAAAAGCTTTAATATGTTTTAGTTGCCCTTTAATTATAATTTAGGACTATACCATTACTCTTAAAAAAATTCTAATAATCAAGGTACCTTCAATAATTTATTTGGCACTTTCTTTTTCTACAGTATCTTAACAAAACTAGTACCAAATATGGGGTATTAGGCACATCGAAAATTGGCATCATACAGAAAGGTAAATTGGTATACCAAGTTTGAAACAAGCCATGAAGTAATCATTGATCCGTGTTCTAAGTCATGTTAAGTCAGTGAGTAAAAAGTGGCTGCCAATCGGAAAAGTCGTTGATTTTTTCATACATTATTTACTCATCATTGAATGATACTCTCTGTGAACCAGAAACAACCAAATGAAAAAAATTATCACATCATGTGCTAAGATGCCAGTTCTCTCTCTTTTCTCCCTCTTCCTCTTTCTCACCTATGCAAACTCACAGTCTCACTCTCTTCTGTATGATCAAGAACATGCAGTGCTATTGAAGATTAAGCAATACCTGCAAAACCCATCATTTCTCAATCATTGGATTCCATCAAACTCTTCTCATTGTTCTTGGCCAGAGATCTCATGCACCAATGATTCTGTCACTAAACTGGCTATGATCAACACCAACATCACTCAAACACTACCACCTTTCCTATGTGACCTCAAAAACCTCATACACATTGATTTTCAATGGAATTGCATTCCTAGCGAGTTCCCAACATCTCTCTACAACTGCTCCAAGCTTGAGTACCTTGACCTCTCACAGAACTACTTTGTTGGTAAAATTCCTTATGACATTGACCGCTTGGCTAGGCTAAGTTTTCTTAACCTTGGTGGCAACAACTTTTCTGGTGATATTCCAGCCAATATTGGGAGGTTGAAGGAACTAACAAGTCTTCAACTTCATCAGTGTCTTTTCAATGGTACCTTCCTTGCTGATATTGGCAATTTGTCCAACCTTGAAACCTTGTATATGTTCTCAAACAGCATGCTCCCTCCCACAAAGTTGCCATCAAGCTTGACCCAATTGAACAAATTGAAGGTCTTTTATATGTATGGCTCCAACTTGGCAGGGGAAATCCCTGAAGCCATTGGAGAAATGGTGGCATTGGAGCAGTTGGATTTATCAGGAAACGGCTTGAGTGGACAAATTCCCAACGGTTTGTTCATGCTGAAAAATCTGAGCATACTATATCTTTACAATAACAACCTTTCTGGGGAGATACCTGGAATGGTTGAAGCATTCAACTTAACAAGGCTTGATCTTTCACATAATAGTCTTAGTGGGAAAATACCTGATGATTTGGGAAAGCTCAATAAGTTGACATACTTCGGTTTGTCTATGAATCAGTTATCTGGGAAGGTACCAAAAAGCATTGGTCAGTTGCCAGCTCTGACTGATTTTGTTGTTTTTCTCAACAATTTGTCAGGTACTCTACCTCAAGACTTTGGTAGGTTCTCAAATCTTGAAACCTTTCAAGTTGCATCAAATAGTTTCACAGGAAGGCTTCCACAGAACTTGTGCTATTATGGAAGGTTAGTTGGTTTAACTGCATATGACAATTACCTGAGTGGAGAGTTGCCAGAATCTCTAGGAAGTTGCAATAGCTTGCAATATCTGAGAGTTGACAACAATGAGCTTTCTGGCAAAATTCCTAGTGGTTTATGGACATCTATGAATTTGTCAACATTTATGATAAATGATAACAAGTTCACTGGTGAGCTTCCTGAAAGATTGTCCTTGAATCTTTCAGTCCTGGCCATAAGTTACAATCAGTTTTCTGGTAGAATTCCTCGTGGAGTGTCTTCTTGGAAGAATGTTGTGGTGTTCAATGCCAGTAACAACCTCTTCAATGGAAGTATTCCACTAGAGCTAACATCTCTTCCCCAGCTAACAACTCTTCTGCTTGATCATAACCAGCTTACAGGGCCACTTCCATCACATATAATATCATGGAAGTCCTTAATAACTCTAAATTTGAGCCACAATCAACTTTCTGGAGAAATCCCAGATGCAATTTCTCTGTTACACGCTCTCAACATATTGGATTTGTCAGAAAATGAAATCTCTGGCCAAATTCCACTTCAGCTGGCCCTGAAGGGACTCACGAACATCAATCTTTCCTCTAATCACTTGACAGGAAGGATTCCTATTGAATTTGAAAACCTCGTGTATGCCAACAGCTTTTTGAACAATTCTGATCTCTGTGCTGATACCCTGGCACTAAACCTTACCTTGTGCAATTCTAGGCCTCGAAGGGCAAGGAACGGCTCATCTGCATCTCATGCTATGATCACAACCCTGGTTGTAGTATCCTCCTTACTGGCTTTCTTGTCATCATTCTTGATGATTAGAGTTTACAGAAAAAGGAAGCAAGATTTGAAAAGGTCATGGAAACTGACTTCCTTTCAGAGGCTGAGTTTCACAAAATCAAACATTGTGTCATCAATGACAGAACACAATATTATAGGCCGTGGTGGGTATGGGGCAGTATATCGTGTTGCTGTTGATGGTTTAGGCTATGTTGCCGTGAAAAAGATATGGAGTAGCAGGAAGTTAGAGCAGAATCTTGTCAATTCTTTTCTAGCAGAAGTTGAAATACTGAGCAATATTCGTCATACTAACATTGTAAAGTTGCTGTGTTGTATCTCCCGTGAGGATTCTTTGCTCCTTGTCTATGAATATATGGAAAACCACAGCCTTGATAGGTGGCTGCACAAGAAAGGTAAGGCATCAGCTATGTCAAATTCAGTGCTTGATTGGCCAAAGAGATTGCATATAGCTATTGGAGCTGCACAAGGTTTGTGCTACATGCATCATGACTGCTTACCGCCGGTTGTTCATCGAGATGTGAAAACAAGTAACATTCTGTTGGATTCTCAATTCAATGCAAAAGTTGCTGATTTTGGTCTGGCCAAGATGTTGATCAAGCCAGAAGAACTTGCTACCATGTCAGCTGTGGCTGGTACATTTGGCTACATTGCTCCAGGTGAAAACAAGAAACAAAAGAATTGCTTCATTAAAAATTTCTATTTCCTTTTTGTTTGGCACAAGTTTAGTCTAAATGTTTATTTCATGCAAAACATGAATTGCAGAATATGCTCAAACAACGCGTGTTAATGAGAAGATAGATGTCTATAGCTTTGGAGTTATTCTATTGGAACTGACAACTGGAAAAGAAGCTAATCATGGAGATGAATATTCATCCCTTGCTGAATGGGCATGGCGCCACATTCAGGTAGGAAGCGATATAGAAGATATTCTGGATGAAGAAATTAAGGAAGCTTGTTACACGGATGAAATGCGCAACATCTTCAAACTTGGAGTCATGTGCACTTCAACACTGCCAGCTAGTAGACCTTCCATGAAGGAGGTCCTGAAAGTATTGCACCGCTGCAGTGATCCACTTGCCAATGGAGAGAAGAACATTGGTTTCTACGATGCTGTTCCACTTCTTAAGAACTCAAAATGGGAAAAGCAGGTGGAATATTACACTGATGATGATTGATGATAGCTAGATAGTTTGCATCCCAGTTTAAGTGTGCTATATGATCCTACCTGATAACAATACAGAAAGGTTACAAACTTTAACGAAAGGTCTAGTCTTGATAGGCTGAGTTAGAGCAGGGGATTACTTGTAAAAGTGCTTTGCAAAATGAAAATGGCAACTAAGCCCATTTGTATTGAGGAGGGAACTGCCTTTTAATCTTGGTTTTGTTTTTATGATAGTGTAAACAGGTTTGGGGTTTTCTTTTCTTAGGCTCCCAAATATGAAATAAGGCACTAAGCTAACAAGTGAAATGAGGAACAAATTCAGCTCATGTCCATTGGTGAAGATAATTGGGTCGTTATTCTTAATTGAAGGGGTAAGAAACAAAAAAGCAATTTTTTACGGGATTTGAAAATTGGTTTTTCCAATACCATGATCAACGCTATTATGGTAAGCAGTTCAATTGGTAGTTAACCTTCAAAAAGCAAGGGCGTTGAGGAGAAATCCGTTTTAAGTTTGTTTACATAACCTCTTCACTGCCTTATAACAATTGAAGGAGAAGACATTTGTTTATTATAGGAAGTAAATCTACCATAACAGAAATAATCCTTAACACTGAAATGGCCATTGACAAATGGAAATAAGATATAAATGTATTGGAGTTCAATTGTCAAACTTATTAACATCGTAATACATTATTACATAATGTAATTTTGACAGAACACTAATTTAATTTTGTTTCTTTACTGTTCCAGGATCATTTTGAGAAAAATCATAGGATATAAATATAAGTTGTATAATGCCAACAGACAAACTTCACAAGGAATTAAGTGTAAACTTGTGGATGCATCCGTTGTATAATTCGTTACATGGTCTTCTAAGCTATTCGTTACGACAAAACAGACAAATTTTCAAGTAAGGTATGCATATTATAATAAACAGCACCAACTCTCCATTGATACCGTAGAAAATTTTTGAATTAAAATTCTTCACTGTTGTCAATAAATTAATCCTGATTTATTCTCGTTGAAAACATGTTACACTGGCAAAACATGACTATTCAAAAGCTTACACCTCTCCCTTTTATTCCTTAACGTGGGAGAGACAAACACTAACCAAAACAATGCCCCAGTAATTACCTAAAGAAGCAGCAAGGTTGCTGCAGGAACACAGAGCCCTACAAATACCCCACAGCAGACTTGGTCCACCCTCCAGTTAAAAGCTCTGTAGGACAAGTAACAAAGGCTTTTCTGCTTCAATCTGTTGATCTATAAGAAAAAATTGAAACTACTGTTACACTTGTTTACTTGGCATTGACCACATCTTCAGGACTCCTCCACTCCCAAATACTGGGAATGAGAAGCTGCCAGGAGGGCTGCTCCAATTCCCGAGCCATCATTAGAATGCTCGAAGCCAATTGTCTCGGTTGCCTCATCTCCTACCAACTCCTTTAGTGTACTCTCCAAGCAAGTTCTGAATTTAGTATAGTGCTCAAACAGTCCTCCATCCAGTGCTATAACTGATTTCTGTTTCTCCCCACCCTTTACCGTGTCTCTTCCTATTTTCTTGAGAATGCCTAGAATACCAGCAGCAGAAAGGCGGGCTCCGCGAATAGCAACAATGTCGCAGAGTTCCACAACAATCTTCCTCATTTTCAGGGATGTGTTATGGATCTGATATAAAAGACAACAATGAGAAAACTTAACCCTTTCTTTTGGGAAGGAGAAATGCCAAACTTCTCTATTTGTCCTTAACATGCATGAATTTGTTTATAATCAAAGATCTCAAATAATAGATTGCCAAAATTTCCTTCCTTTTATATTTAATTCAAGAAAAACATTTAACATGATATTAATGTGACAACAAACAAGCATATTTATATTCAACATGGTCAGAGAAGCATCCATACCTCTAATATATCCCTTAATTTGTTTCCAACCACCTTCAGATCTGAAGATGTATCATGATGCATTGCAGACATGACAGGTGTCCTATACATCCCATAAAAAAGGTGAAAAACTAAGAGGCTCCAATGCAAAGAAAATAAATGGTAAAAAAAAGAATGAAAGTAGTGCGTTACAATGAAGATGGGTATAACTCAAATTAGGGAAACACAGGTGATATGGTGTAAATATGTTCCCTATCAATTTTTAACCTCACTTAACCAACCATAGGAAGAGTAATAGGGAGGCAATGAAAATCAGAAGTGAAAACTATTTGTATGCCTGCTTGGTAAGATAATAAAGAGAAGACACCATTGGCATTCCACTATAAAATTTTCACCAGAATTTTGAACATAAAAAAGTAAATATTCCAACATCAAAATATGTTCTTGTGGTTCACTTATATTTATTCAAAGATTATAATCATCAAGAAATATGATTAGTATATAGCATTGTGGTTCCTTTAGCCTTCATCTCTAATAAATGAGAGGATGAAAAACTGTTCAATCATGCCATTTTGCAAATCTTTTACCCAGCATTTAAAGACCATAAAATTCACCCCTCTCCACCTTTCTCACAAACTACCAAGCATGTCCCAAAAGAGGCAATGATAACCCAATTTGGTACTGCAACATCCTTGTACTGATTACAAGTTTCAAAATGAATGGAAAGAACATTGAACAAATGTCAGCGGTGTGGCAACCAATTAATAGCAGAAATAATAACTTTTAGATCAAGCGACCCTGAGAAATAATATAGAAGTGAGAAAGGTAGGTTCAGCGGCCTTAAAAATTCAATAGATGATACTAAGATGGCACCTGAAGAAGTCTGAAGAGATAAAATTAAACCATTTAGGCCTAACATTTATTAGATTTCTCAAATTAATATTAATATGCCAATTACTAAGCAAGATAAAGTTTCTTTATCATTGCTCACATGGTAGACATACAAGAAAATTCCAAAGGAAGGACAGATAGCAAATAAACAAGTATAATCTGAGAAAATTAGTTGATGTTTGGTTGGATATAATATCATACCTAAGTATGAAAGGAATCCTCAATTTTGGAGGAACAGTATCTCCAAAGAATTCAGCTTCTTCAGCCAACTTCAACAAAACTCTCCTAACAATATCGCCCAAATACATACCAGAAATTATCTTCTCAAAAATCTGCAAACAAGAGTATTAGTGTACTATAGATGCACATTGATAATTTAAACCAATGATAGATAACCATTACCTGTTCTCCAGGGTTTAGGCTCTCTGCATCTAGAGCTTGATCATATTCTGTCAGAGGAAGATGGGAAGATCGGAAATTACCCCACTCCATGTTTATAACCTATAGAATTAACAAAATAATCAGCATGCTTTGATACACAGCTAACCATTACCTGCCCCAAATCATGGTAACACAGTTCTTCTATCACACAAGAAAATAAGTGTCATAGACATTCATAACCTATTTACCATCTTTCCTGACTTTGGTAAAGGACCATGCCATTTTGGAATTGCATGCGCATGCTCTACATAGGCTGCATTTGTCCCAGTACCAAGGATAACTCCAGCAATGACATCCTGATTGCTGAATCTTCCTCTAGCTACGGTTCCAACAGTGTCATTAACCTACATCACATCTCCAAGTTAAGTTTTGTTCCCAGGTTGAGATATTAAGTAACCAAGAAACTTATAAGGAAGAAAATTGACACTTCAAAACTAATTAATCCAAATTTTCTGCCAGATACAAACTGAAAAGCATTCTCAAAGCCTGATTTTAAGGGCAAAAAGAAAAGAAGTTATAAAGAAAGGAAAGTGGGACTCACTAGAGCTGCAACACGCATATCCAGACCAACTTTTTCAAAGGATTTGGTTAGTTCACCCACCACATCTTCTCCAACCTACAAACAACCCAAATAAAATCCATAAACAAAGTAACAATCAGATTACCTACTCAATTAAAGAGTAGCTGAGAAATGAAGAAAAAACTAGTAGGAGGTTCTTCCCTATATGAAAAGAGTTCATATGATACATTTGTGAACTGTAGAAGGTTAGCATAGTAACTCCTGGACTCACAAAACATAATGCAAGAACAAAAGGAATGTAGTAGTGTATGTACTAACAGAGACAGAATACTAATGCATGTATCTGGATTGCACACCGTAATCATGATCAACAGTACACAAATGAGACGACAAGAAAGAATGTCAGATGCAATTACTGACCACAAAGCAAATAGAATTGAATATGACAGAATCAAGGTAACATTAATTACTTACCACATCCTCAATATTGAATCCCTTAGTCCACTTTATTAGACTCCCAGATGCAATTGATGTTTGCTTCACTGGAAACGAGAAGGTAAAACCCAGTTCTCTTTGTCTGCCAGGTGGAGGATGAAACTCTTCAGGTTCTGACTCAACAAACTTTGCAAGTTTTGTTGCTATAAAATCAAATAATTCCTGCAACGCCGTAGTAATTAACTTATTTCAGTGTGTTGTAGGCACGGTCAACTCAATGCATGGATAGATTTTCTCGCAACAGACTTACATGAGAAGAACCGGTCATCAAATGAGGAGGAATGGCAACTTCTTCAGACTCAAGGTTAACAACGCCTTTCTCCTTTCCACCTAAATGCACCCGAAGGGTACGGAAGTTTGTGCCACCAAGGTCCAATGCATAAAACAGTCCTTTCTCATCCCTATAAACAATGCAACAAATTAAAGATCAACAAACAAGACAAAAAGACCTTTAACCCTGTGTTTGGACAGAGATTTTAGAATTTCAGAAAATGTGAAAATAACAATGAGAGACTGATTCAAAATAGAGTCAAATATGATAGGAGTTATAAACGATAATCCAAAAAGAATTCAGCATTATATACAAACCCATTATCCAAACACATAAATTTAGTAATTTAAAAATACTCTATCCAAACACAACCCTTAAAATTACAAGCTCAAGTGACAGAAAACTCCATTCACTTATTTTCCATCAATTCAAACACAATGTAAAACACTTGGTCGCTCAAATCTCTCAGAACACACAACACAAACAATCCAATGCTTTAGGACTAAACTACCACCATCCAAACTATCCTTTACTTCATAAAGATAACATGAAAACTCGAATGACAAAATAATGCAGAAAACTTTGGAAAATTAAAAAAGAAGAAGGGAAACTAAGTAAGAGAGGAACAAACCCAGAAGGAAGATTATCAACATAGGTGATCAACATCTTGAGCTTGCTGGCACCTTCAGAAGCAAGACCCGCATGCATCTCAACAGCCATAGCATCAGCAACCTGTTTTAGCTTCGCAATTGGGGTTCCACACTCTTCCCCAAACTCCTTCACAATCTCCACCGCGCGACCCCACTTCCCCGACCTCCTCATGTGGTGCCGAACCACCAGCGCCGCCGCCGCACACACGCCCGCCGCGCAAACCCCCGCCACCGCCACCTTCCCCATGCCACTCACAACCTCTTTTGCTTTTTGGATACTCCGAGATTGTTTCTCATTCGTCAAAACATTCGGGATTTGGACACACAAACTTACGAGTAGGAACGAAAGTTATCATTACATTTACATTTGTATATATAGATAAAGATAATAATAATTAAATTAGTGCATGAAAAATACGATGTACGTACGTATTAATCTAATCTATAAATACTAAAACTTATCTATAAGATTTGTTTATTTATCGAACACAAATGGATGAACTATATATCTCTTTCGAATTACTGTTCTAAATTAATATTCTAATTTTCGGCTGAATTTAATTTCCGAATAAAAAAGGATAAGGTGAATTGACGTATGAGTATCAACTGATAGTGACAGGTAATTTAATATTTTTCAAGGAGAATTTCACTCTATCTATATATTATTTTTATTTTATTATCATATAAAATAAATATTAATAAAAGAGTACATAAAAATATTTTCATTTAATAATCAACAAATAACAATCAGAAGTAACTTTAAGAATTTGGGAAATTAAAGAACAAAAGAAATTAGCAAAAATTAGCACTGATTAAATAAATAAAAATAAAATTGGGTTGGCAAATAACCGATAAATGAGTCAGGTTAGTGATACATATAACTCATAAAAGTACATAAAAAAATATATTAGTAAAAGAAACTGGTCAAAATTCAGAACAGGCCAAGTTGATAAAAGTTGACTTCAGAAATCAGTTTGAATAATTTTTCTAAGACTGTTTTATAAATTTAAAATATTTTTAGACATATAAAATATGTGTATAAGAATCATGGATTACTATAATTATTATTTATTTTTGTATTACTAAATTTTTATCTTATAAACATGATATAATTCTTTTCATTAATTTTAAATTTTCATCATTTATTTTTTGTAGTTCTATATAAATTTATTATTTAAGATTTCAGTCAATATTAAATATATATTTAATTATTTCCAATATAATTTTTCATAGACCAATAAATCATAAATGAATGTCTTTATTAATTTAATAATTCTGTAATTTTTAAAACTTTGAAATAAGTATTTGCTATGAATTTAACATTGATTAAATTAATAATTATTTATGAAATTAAAGATTAAAATAAAAATTATAAAATTTAGGATTAAATTTTATAAAAATTAAATTTAAAAAAACAAGGTTTTATTTTATTTTTATTACATCTATAAACGTGAAAATGTTTATATGATTTTTGAGTTGCCGTATGTAGCCAAACATGGTGCATGCAGTTCAGTATTGTTGATCCTGACAGCCACGTGTACATCCCGGTTTATATTATTGTTGTCACGTGCAAAATGGGCCATACACAATTTGGTGGGTTTTGTTAAACAATCTTTTAAGATATTCCCATATTTAAGAATATATAATTATAAATATATACATAAAACTCTCAAATTTTAATATATTAAAATTACGTAATAATACTAAAAAATATATTGTTAACAATGTTTTATTATTCATTATTTTTTATTTTATATCTTTAAACACTAATTTGAAAAATGTTATCTTTATTATTTATTATACAATTTTTCTTTTTTGTATGGGGAGGAAAAACATACATACAAGGACAAACAATGACAATTAACAATAATATGAATAGGTTAATAGATGACATAGATTTTGTGCAATAATGACGTATGGGGTACTAATCTTTTTCCATTTAAACATAGTGACTAAAGCAAATTGCAGTTTCATATTTGGAATAGCAGCAAGTTTTGAACATTAGGTGTAGGGCTGTGTTATTAATGTATTGTATAAGATTTTTTAATCATTTGATCATCAATTAATGGATTGGTCAACTTGGATTTGTTTTCAATGGCAATGCAAGTTGTTTATAAATTAAAAGGGTTTTGCTTATTTCAAGGCACCAACTTGGAGGCCAAACATGGGTGGTGACTCTTCTATTTCAGTGTGCGCCTCAACTTTGGTCATTGTTAATTTGTATTAAAAAGAAACTTTGACAAATTTGATTTTAAGTAGGAAAAAGAAATTTTGATCTCATTTAGAGTGTCATCACGGTGAGTAAGAGAGAGAGAGAGAACTAAAAAGATTGAGAATGAAGAAATGTGATAAGAAATGAAGGGAGAAATTAAAATTATAATAAGGATGAAAAAAAATTGTAAAAAAGGAAACAAAATATTAAAATTGCTTGAAGTAAGTAAATAATATTTTAAAATTTATGTATGCTTATTGACTTACTTTAAAGACAAAATTATTGTTAAATTTTTTTACCTTAATATGTATATACTAATAAAAGACTTTAGCAATACAAATGAAAAGTAATGTCTTTTTATCTTAAAAATGTTCTTTATGAATTTTAGAAGTAAGGTATCACTCTATGATATACGGGTTGGAATCCTTGTTTTAATTTCTCTTCAATTTTTAAATGATTTAATTTTTTTTAAATTGTTTTTTCCTCCAAATTATTAGTCAAAATTATTTTTTCTGTAACGAGGATTGATTCTAAACTTTGAATTTGAACATCTTATGTCATGAAATTCCTAATTTGCAACTTTTGCCCTAACTTGACCAATATCAATGGAGAATCATAGACCATTATTAGAAGAGAAATTTGTTATCCTCACTGCACTATTTTATAATTAAAAATATAAAATAAGAAAAACAATATGATAAAATAATAACAAAATATGAGTGATAAATAGCTATGTAGGAATAATATAACTTTATTCAAGTTGCATAATGGCACATCACTAAAATGAAGATACCATAACACAGCAAAGAGTTGGCTACACGAAAATACACACATGAGTCACTACAAAATGTTGTCATTATTTATTCATACAAATGGAAGAAAGGGTTTTAGCCTTCTTTTTGTCCAACCTTGAATGTGAAGCTTTTTCCCTTTTTCCTTTTGTACAAATGAAGCTTTTTTCTTTTTGTCCAACCTTGAATGAGAAGTTTGAAGCATGTCTTGATTTTGAAAAGAACAAAAAAAGGGGAAGATATTTTGAATTATAAATTTAAAAAATTATATAATTTAGAATGATAAATCTATGACTAATATATTATGTTTGAGTTAATATATCAATTTATATATTTTTTAAATTAATTTTAAATATATCTATTTAAAATAAAAAGTTTGTACTCTTCTCTTCTACCTTTCAAAATTTCCTTCCCAAATAACTCTATCAAGGGACGAAACAAGAAAAGAAAGGCCCATGGGTCCAAAAGAGCCCAAACCCGAAAATGTACAGCTACAAAGCAGGCATAAAAAAAATGGAAGAAGCATGAAATGTTTGAAAAAGCTAGAATGTAGGAATTGGTTTATTAAAAAGAAAATATATTCAATGTATCTAAGGCACGATAAGTACTTAAAAATAAGCTTATTTTGCCTCTATCAATGATAAAATTTGGGTACAAATTGAACTTATTACAGTTTTATTTTTCCATGATACAATAAATTCAAGCCGTGGCATCAATTTTACAATACTTTTTATCTCTTGTGTATCAAAGATAAATATAAATAAATTTGTAAATAAATTAAAGAAGAAAGAGAGAATTGAGTGTGATTTGTCTATGGAGAGTAATCCCTTTATATATAGAACCAAGTGTTTATTCATAATGAGTTTTACCAATTCAATTAATGTTTTTCATTAAAAAAAAATCACACTATTTTAAGTAGCGTTTATTCAATGAATAGTTACACTTCCTTCCTTAATGTCTTCCAGGAAGAGTAACTTTTTTTAATTTGCATTTTTATGAATAGACACTTCAGCTGTATCTATTTATATATGAATAGTGATATCGATCACTTGACGATTATTCATGTAAATATGTCCTTTAATACACATATCTACATGAAATATCATATATGCAAGACAAATTAAACTTAAATAACTTTTCATTTTGAAGGAAATAAAATAGTCTTGAAATTAAATTGAATAAAATAATAAAACTTTTTAATATAAAATAAATAGAATTTCGTTTAAATGAGTTATTAAAATTTTTATTTTAAATGAAAAAATGTAACTTTTCTTGTTTTAAAATTTTTTCTCACCAAGTGCACCCAAAACAGGATAAGAAAAAAATGTGAAGAAACTTAGCCGGTGCAAGAATAACAATGGCTGGTCTTATCATTTTTTGGGTCTACACAGAGGCAGGTCTTGACAGAGTATTTTGTTTGGGAATTATATAGTTTTATATTTTTAGTCAAAGGGATTCATATGGTTGAAATCGTTGTAAGTTTAAAACCCACATGAACCCATGCCTAAGCCCACATTATTGAAGTGCACAAATATTAGGATTGGCCGCGGACCCAAAACTGAGTTTTTGCAGTGGCTTTTATGCAAAAATAAACACAAGTAGAGAATGAAATGAGAGATATTATGTTCATACAATAAAATTTGGAACAAAAAAATTCATACAATAAAACTATGTAATGATTTATATAATCATATTTTTATTTTTCTTCATTATATTTCATTTTATCTGACATTTCTTTCTCTCTCTCTTGTTGAAAAAAAAATGTTGTATAAATAAAAATATCTCCTAAAATAATTAGGTTGGGTCCAGGAAGCTTGAAATTCCATTTGGTGGGTTTCAGTGGTAGGTTATATGCGGAATGCCTCCAAAACACCGTTATTATTATCAATCAAAGTATCAAACGTGACTCATTAATTGCTTTCTCAAAGATTAGGTCTTATTTAACTACCAAAACCAAAATGAATGTATTCTATCCACTATGTGTCTATTTCCACCCAACAACCAACTTTAGGTGGTTTAATCAGTAAAATAGAATGAAAAGAAAATGCACCACCTCTAGTTATCACTCAGAGGATCTTTTTTGCATGTACAGTAGTTACATTTTTTATTCATTTTCTTTAGTGAAAGCTAGATATCAAGATTCTGGATATGTAATTTTTGGATTATGCTATTAACACACTTTGACCTCTATATTCTTTATGATTCTCATAAGTGATATCATTTTTCCTTTTAGCTTGTGTTCTGCTGTATAATCATTTATAGTTTATGCTAAAATATGTAATTCTGCTTGATGGGTGATTTATAGTTCGGAAAAAAATTGAATAGTTATTTCTTTTAGAGAGACATAGGGTAGGAGATATAATCTTAACAAAAAAATTTATTACTACTAATAAAAACTATTGTTAAGTCACACCATGTTGAAGATATTTTATTTAAATGTCCCTTTGAGGATATGGGAATCATTCTCTCTCACC